TGGTCTGTCCCCATGGCTCCCCTCTGGGCTCGCCAGGGCTCAGGGTTGGGAGGATGTGCCAGCACAGCCCCAGCACATTGCCTCAGCCTTGCTGTGCCCAGTGAGCAAAGAGATCCTGGACTGAAAAGGGGTTTTTGCTTCTATTCTTCCACCTGCCACCTTCCAGAGGTTTCCAGGGTGGGGGACAGTAAAGCATCCTTTACACCTGCCATGCCTGAATGGGGCCATTCTGTCCTGTCCCATGGCTCAAGGAGCTACAGTGTCTCTGCAGGGTGGGACCAGAGCTGCCTGCAGGGACCCAAGTGACAAATTGCCAGTGACATTGCTGAGGGGAGCACGCACAGGCAGTGATGGGGTTGTAATGAATTAAGTGCTGTTCAAATTGATGCAGGATTGCTGTAAGGAATGTGTGTGTGTGTTGTGAGGAGTAGGACACAGGTGTGATGAATATTGTCCATCAGCTGTGATAGAAAGCCCATCATCCCAACACATATTTTCAAAAATGAATTTAAGGCTGAAAGAGATTATTAAAAATGAGGAGAGGAAATTGTCTGGGATATATTTAGAGTCCCTTGCTAGGTAAGATGAATTCCAGAAGTCAAAATACTGCCTGTGGGGTGAAAGGGATCGATACTGATATTTTGGTGGCTCATGATAAGAAGATAGGGCTGAGGCAATTCTCCTGCCAGGGGAGAGTGTCTGGGGAAGGAGAGCCCTTGCCTGGGGCTGATGTGCTAGGGGCTGATGTGCTGGGCTCCAGGAGGGACACACAGAGCAGGGACTGTCCTGGAGCTGTCAGCCCTCCCCCGGAGTGCAGCAGGTCTCTGTCCCCAGCCCGGGGTCTGGCTGGTCTCTTCCCACCTTGGCTGGTCCTTTCCCACCTCGGTTTCCTTCCTGAGCCTGTGGGCACTTTGCAGCTGGGTGGTGGGGACACAACCTGGTGAGGGATCCTGGGATGCCAAAAGGAAGAACGCTTCTGCAGAATGAGGTTTATGAGCAGCCAAGCCTGGAGATGAGGTTTATGAGCAGCCAAGCTCAGGAGAGAAGCCCCCAGCACTGGCGCTGGGTGGGCTTAGGCTGTGCCCCTCTGCATTTCTGTCCCTGGCACTACGAGGACACGTCCCTGTATCCCAAGAGCTGTGCCAGCGTGGGTCTGAGGAGATGAGCACTGCCAGCCTGCAGCCTGCCATGCCCCGGACATCTGGAGAGCTGGGGTTTGATCTTGGCTGTTTCCTCACTCTTTCATTTATCTCTCTCTGCTGTTCTGGATGACAAGATCATTAGAAAGCCAATTCCTGTTGCTGAGCTCTTCCTCCCGAGCTGTGTGTAAGTGTGGACGATGCCTGAAAGACAAGAGGTTTAATTGTGTTCTGCCTGCAGCTACGGGATGTCAGCCAGGCAAATTTAAAGCCAGGCTGCATGGGGGTGGGAGATGCACCTCCATTACTCACCAGCCTGGATGAGGTTTAGCTTTATTGTATCCTGAAATAGCCAGAGCCTGGGAGGTGCTGATTGAAGCCATTTGAAAACATGACAACATCCTCGGGACAAGAGGTGTCTAATCTAATGAAGCCAGAAGGCATTAGATAAGAGCTGTGCAAAGCCAGGAAAACACAATTAAAGCATTCCTGAGGACTGCTGTCGACCTGCATCAGGAACACTGGGACAGAGATATTGGTACAAGTCTAATGAAAATAAATGATCTGTTTGAAACATTCCTCAAGTCAGTGACAGAGCTGGGCCCAGCCTTGAAGGGTCCCACCAGCCAGGAGCTGGTGTCTGTGTGGGGTTCCCTGGGCAGGGCTGGTGGCACCTGCCTGTGCTGCACTGGGGGCATGGCAGGTTTTTGTCTTTGCAGCAAAGGAGCCCAGGAGCACATCACCACCCCATGCCCTGGTGGTGGGATAAGGGAGCCACGGGGATTAGTGCCCTTGCATGGCACATCAGGGCTTTCTCCAGACAAAGCCCCTTCCTGAGGCTGGCACTCCCATGCCTTTCTCACAGCTTGTTAACCAGGCAGGATCCCCTCTCTCCCTGCAGAGTTTTGTAAGATTTTTGTCTCTAAATAACCCCTTAAAACCCCTCAGGGTGGTGAGGTGCAGGTGATAGTAAGAGCGTTTTCAAATCATGGAGATTTGGGGAGTTAGAAGGAAAGTTAGGCTTAGTAGGCCCTGGGAAAATACTCTAGGCCTTGTAGTTGCTAGAACTGCACCTGTGTAACCAGTATATGATAAATGATATAATTGTTAGATGCAATGATTGTTTAGTAATTAAATATAATTACTGTTTAATCATAAGAATAATCATGAGAAACTGTGGTCAGGGGCTTGAGAAATATCATGAGAAACTCATGTTTGAATGAGGTCAATGTATACAATATAAGTTTAATAATTAACATGCAAGTTATATAACGATAGAATATAAAATACGTTCAGCTCAAAAGCCATGTGGGAGTCAGATTTGGGTCTGTACCCCTGATTCCCAGAGCTCTTTAATAAAAGCACCTGTATATAATGATATTCTGTGTGTTCCTGAACGCTGACACAGGGGCCAGTGCTCTGGCCAGGGGGGCAGCAGTCCTGCCCTGAGCCCCCCTGTGTCCCCACCGTGGTGCTGGGGACGTGGAAGGGAAGGAAAGGCTCCTTTTCCTCCAGTGAGTGCATTGTGCTTTGTGCTCTCTCCTCCCAGCTCTGCTGTATCAGAGCTGCATTTAGGATCTGGGTCTCATGCAGGACCTTTGAATAGAAGCACCTCCATTTAGACTCTTGCTATCAGAAATAGTGATTAAACACACCCACTCCTGTAAATCACTGGCAAGAGGAACTTGTCTCTAATCACGCTTCTTTGGCAAGAGTTTAAATTGACAGTGACATGCTTATTTCTGGAAGAAAGTTTTATTTTGGGAGTTCGATTCATTGTGCCATTCTCATTTTGATGCAGTGCAATGTGATACCTAACACATCCTTTCTCCTGTGAGGCAAGGCAGGGATGTGTGCATTGCTGTGAGACAGTGTGTGCCTCACAGATCCACCCGGCTCTCCTGAGGAGAGATGTCAGAATCTGTGGTATTTAGATGATTCTGAGATTGTAGAAAGTCTCTGTCTGTCAACCCCACTGCTAAAGAAGAAGTTGTAATTTGTCTGTGCTGGTTTTCAAGTGTGGGAATCCAGAGCTTCCCTCTGGCTGCCCTGGCAGGGCTGGGACCCTGGCAGGGGTCAGGAACCCCCCTGGACAGAGCCCCCAGAGACACTGTCTGTGATCTCTGTCCATAGAAAAGAGTTTTCAATCTTACAGGATGAATTACAAGCTCTGAGTGTTTGATATCAGTAATAATTAAGTGTGGCACGGGTGCAAAAGTAAAATTTTAGGATTCTAGATTAGGGGTTCAAAGGGGACAAGATGGAGGAAATTGGGTGTGCCTTGTCCTTTTTCTCCTTCTTCATGCCCTCCATGTCTCACTGTGGTGTTGGCATGCAGGCCATGCACCTTTCTGACCACACAACAAAGCAAAAAACCACCCCTCCAGCCCCTCTACAGGTGCCAGCCCACCTTAGCACAGATGTCATTTAACAAAACGAGGCATTCCTTCACACCTTGATGCTACTACATCTGTCCCTTACTCACCACATGCCACCTTTGATAAAGTGGCATTTTCCCCCAGAACATTGAAATGACCCACACAGACAAACCAGGGCAGGACTACTGGTTGGTTTTACTCAGGTATTTAGATAGGTCTTTATTGCCAGCTTCAACATGATTCAATAAATACAAAATTTTAAAAAATGTCCATAGATTTTATTAGCATTTATAATAATTATTATTATGATTATTAATAAATATTCCAAACCAACTGAGATTCCCTGGAGATGTCTGACTATAGTTCAAACATGAGATGCACACAGAGTCCCTTATAATATTATATTACATTTATCTCAAGCTTATAAAAATATATATTGACTTCTCAAGTGTGTATTTACAGTACTTAAGATGTGGCTAATGAATATAAAAGCATCTGGAGATGAACCACCTTGATTCCCATTTGGTTTCTTGTGAGGGAGTGTTGCAGATGCTGCTCCAACAGGACTGGGGCTCTCCCAGCCCGTGGAGAAGGCAAGAGCCTGATGAGATGCCAGAGGCTGGATGGGAAGAGATCAGGGTCATTTTGAGGCACTTCCCTTGCAGCTCCAAAACAGCAATGCTGATTAATTTAATTATACTACTTCCCCAAGGAGAGACGCTGAGAGGATTCAAGTTAATTTTAATATCATAACAACAATCAATAGCTTAAACTACAGATTTTGTTGTGTTGGTGAGGAGCTCAATTAAAGGTGTTTATTCTTGCAAAAACCTGGGCTAGAAGGCTGCTTCCATGGGGGGCTTCCCTTTCCTCTCCTTCCTTGTAGGAGGGACCAGGAAAGCTGTATTACTGAGATGTCATTTATGTCTTCTCAGGGATCAGGCTGCAGCTCTGGGAGCTGCCAGTAATGACAGGCAGGCAGCACCATGCCTACAAAACTAATTTTGGGTGTGCCCTGGATTGCATGGATGCAGCCAGCACCATTTCCTCTGTGCTGTACTGGAGAATATTTGGGTTTGTTCACCAGCTGAGGTGTCAATACTCAGTGAAGTAGCTCATAGAGCAGAAGGGATGCAACTGGGAAAGCGTTTCCTTCAGCACAGATGGGGAAAGTCACCTTCCAGGAGTTGGGCACTGGGTGAGAGCTGCTCTCTAAATTTAAAAGCAATAAAAACTCCTTGTGGGGTTGCTGAGATCTGTCAGGCTGTGTAAAAGTCCCCGTGGATTCTGTGGGACTCAGATTCAGTCAAAGAAAGAAACTGAGAGTTTCTAGCCAGGCAGAAGCCTGGGAAAGAGCTGGAGAAGAATGTAAATAATGCTTTATCTCTCTTGTTTTTCATATTGTTTATAGTTAAGTTCTATCACTTTGCACCAATGGTGTAGGATGTTTTCACTTCAGGACCAATGGAGTTGGTCCTCACAAAGCTCTGTATAAAAGAGTGGTGCATTTTGAATAAACCAGAGTTTTACTCTCAGCAGCTTCTGAGTCAGAGTCTTCTCATTCCCGTCCTGCCTCGACAGTGACAGATTCACCAGCAGGATACTGGATACAGAAGTGTTGGCTCTGGATCAAGACAGTGCAAAAAGGTCCATCCCACCCTGTGAACTCACCTACCACATGAAATGGCATCAGTACAGTTTGACTCATCTTACAAAACAGTGCTGGGAGAGCCTCGTCCCCCCAGGCACCGCCCAGGAGCGCTGGGCTGCCGGCACAGGGGACAGGAGCCCTGCTCTCCTGCTGTGAGTGTGGCAGCACACAGCATTTCCCAGCTGAGGGTTCCGAGGTGGGGTGCTCGGGGCCAGCAGGCTTCTCCTCGCAGGGAGCAGGGACACGGCCTCACACCTGCACGCCCCGGCCGTGCATCCGGATCACCTGCGCCCGCAGGCTCTGGATCCCGCTCAGGAGGGTCTCCTGGTGCTCTGCCAGCGTGATCCCCAGGCTGAGGATGTCTCTGCAAAACGAGCCTCGTGTCAGCCAGGACACCGCGGTTCCAGGCGTGCACAAGTGAGAAATCCCCAACCTTTTGTCCCAGCCAAAGCAGAACTGACACTCTGGGCCTGGGTGGTTCTGCCTCCTGGTTTGCTTCCTACAGAGCTGGACACAGCAGGGCTGTGAGGGAGGGTTCCTGCAATCCTTGAGGAAGAACATCCCACTGCACAGCCGTGCACTCCACAACAGGAGCTGCGGAATTCCCAACACGAAAAGCCAATATTGGCTTTACTGACACTGATCAGGCATCTCAGGCTAACAGGAGCCTGCAGCACACCAGGCATGGGACAGCTCTGAGCCCAGCAGCCTGTGGGAAGATGATGGATTTCACATCTGGGGATGCACTGAGGAGCAAGAGGAGCAGCACTGGCTCCTCCCTTGCTCTCCCCAAAAACCCAGACCCGCTGGTGATGCCAGCTGGGTGCTGTGGCAGCTGCTTTCACCAGCACCATGCAATGAAGGTTTTATTTTAAAAATCCCCTGTATGACCAGCACCTGCCAAGTGCTGAGCCTGTCCTTGAGAGCAGAGCTGCACTTTGGGGTTCCCTGTCTGAGCCATATGGAGCCCCCTTTCCCCAGAGCCCCTTTGGGCTGGAGCAGAGTGTGCAGGGCTGCAGCACCACAGTTACCAGTAAATCACATTGGATGTGGCTCTGCTCTCTGGCAGGGGGAGGAAACATTGCTCTCACTGCACCCACAACACAAGGTTACAGCCAGGAGAAGGGGTCACTTACTGGGCTGTCATCCTGGCCACCGACTCCAGGCAGCAGTAGCCCGCAGCAGTGAAGTTGTCCTTGTATCTGCCCATTTCTATGGCTTCCAGCCACTCAGCCACGGAGCTGAAGGACGGGAAGGCCGAGAAGGCTCTCTTGGAGAGGGGGAGGGACGTGCCATGGGACCTGCCAACAGAGAGGGTGGTGAAGAGGGAGTGGGGCACGGCAGGGCCGAGGAGGGACGGGCAGGTGTGGAAACCTGGGGCACGTGGAGCTGGGGCACTCCGGGGGCTCCAGGCTCTGCAGCAGCTTGCTCAAGGCGTTGTGGATCTGCGAGAACTTGGGCCGCTGGCTGCGCTCCTTCTGCCAGCAGCTGAGCATCAGCTGGTGGAGGGGTGGCTGGCAGTTGGCCGGGGCGGGCAGGCGGAACCCATCCTCCACAGCCTTCATCACCTGCAGGACACAGGGGCTGGGCTCAGGTGCTGCCATGCAAACCAGAGGCAAACCCCGGGGCAAACCCCTGGGGCGAGCCTCCCTCCTCACAGCCACTCCTTCAGCAATGGCTGCACCATCATCCAGCGCCAGCTGCAGGGCACTCACATCCTGGTGGGACATGTCCCAGTAGGGTCTCTCGCCGTAGGACATGACTTCCCACATGACGATCCCGAAGCTCCACACGTCGCTGGCAGGACTGAAGTGGTGATACTGGACGGCCTCAGGGGCTGACCACAGCACCAGGCTCTTCCCACGCTGCACAGGCAGAAGGGCAGGAGTGATTTACTTGTCCGGAAGGATGTGGCCAATGCTGGCCAGTCATGGGTGGCCATTCACTGTTCATTGTGCCCTGCCTGGCATCACAGGGTGGACACCAAGCAAACCCGTGTGCCATGAGCACATTTAGTACTAAGAGAAAACTTTTTCCTCAATTTGTTTCAAATGTCACTGCAACTGTATGCTACAGTGTGAGTCCTGAAATATTAATGGGAGAGGAGAATGTCCTCAGGAAGAGCTGATGGTATTCTGTACACTAATATTTAAGGGAAACCACCTCACAGCTGTACAAACACGAGTCCCTCTGCCCTGATTTGTGCAGCGAGGCTGTGGCTGGAGCAGGCGTGGTGCTATGCAGGTCCCTGACCAAACACACTGGATTTATACCTGAGAAAGAAGTCTAAGGTGCAGAGTCCCTGTTCATACTTGAAGAAGGAAATGGGAGCCTAGGAAAAGTGTTGACAAAGAATGTGGAAATGCAGCTCACCATGGTGGAGAAGATGGTTTCCATCTTGTCTTCCTGCGGCCGCCTGAACCCCGTGATCTTGCATGCCAGGCTGCTGCTCACGAGGACCTTGTGGGCAGCCAGGCTTTTGTGTACGTAGCCCATCTCTGCCAAGTACGCCATGCCAGAGGCGATGCCCTGCAGCATGCAGATCAGCTGCGTGCCTGTGAGCTGCCCCTCGTGTTTCTGTGGAAGCAGAGCAGGAGAAGCCAAAGGGCAGCCGTGGGAACACGGCCAGGAGAGTCCAAGCTGGGCAGACACCCCATACTCACTCTGAGAAAGGAGTCCAGCAGGCCGTTCCCCATGTATTCCATCACTATCATCATGGTGCTCCCTGCACAGACAGACGGACAAGCAGCACGGTGTCAGTGCCACCGTCACTCAGACTCTGCAGGGTTACAAATCCAGCTGCCAACCCCTGCACTGCCTGGCTTTTGGGGGAGATAAGGATGTTATCTCAGCCAGGTTATAATGAGCACTAGGACCAAGGCTTCCCTGCCATTCCCAGCTAGGAATGGATTCCAGTATCAGAAGCTCTTTTCATCAGGACTCTGAAGCACATCACAAAGGACAGCACAGCCCAGTGAAAGCAAAAGCAACCAGCTCAGCCAGAATACTTCCTTTCCTATAAAAAGCCTAGTTAGAATCAGCTCACATGCTCTGGTTTCTTTGGATTCAGATGAATATCCATTCAACTGTCACACCCATAGCCTGGTTCTGCACACACACCTCATGGGAGGGAGCTGCAGCAGTCAGTCTCATCTGTTTTACTGACAGAATCTCGCTTCAATTGACTTTTGTTAAGAGCCCACGTGCTTGGCTGCTAAGCCAGTCCCACTAGCTGCATTTATTAACCTGGCTGGAAGCTTTTTATTAATCACCAGACTGCAAACCCACGTGGGAACAGCTGCACTCAGGTAGCCAGCTGCACCTCCAGCCCCAGGTGACCTCTCCGATGCAGCAGTTTAAGCCCATTCCTGCAGAGGAGCCTCCTGGGACCCTCCTACCTCTGGTGATGACCCCCTCCAGGCGGATGACGTTGGAGTGGTCAAACTGGCCCATGGTGCAGGCCTCGGCCAGGAAGGAGCGCTGCTGCTTCTCAGAGCAGCCTGCCCGCAGCGTCTGGATGGCCACCGGCAGCTCCCGCTTGCTGGGCAGCTTCAGGCACCCCCGGCACAGCTCCCCAAACTCTCCTGCACAGCAGAGAAATGCGTTAAAGAGATCCCTGGCCACTCACACCAAGCAGCATCTCTCCAGACTCCTGCACAGCAGAGAAATGGGTTAAAGAGATCCGTGGCAGGATTGCTGCCGCTCACACCAGGCCATCCTGAGCACTGTGCCACTCCTCTGCTGACTTTCAGCCATCTCCAGAGCCTCTCAGCAGTTCTCTCCATGCTCTGCTCAGTGTATATTGTGTTTTAGCCCATGAGAGGAGTGATCCCTGTCACTGAGGTCAGGCTCTGGGCCTGGGTGGTTCTGCCTCCTGGTTTGCATCCTGCAGAGCTGGACACAGCAGGGCTGTGAGGGAGGGTTCCTGCAATCCTTGAGGAAGAACATCTCACTGCACAGCTGTGCACTCCACAACAGGAGCTGTGGAATTCCCAACACGAAAAGCCAATATTGGCTTTACAGCAAAAAGCGTGTAGCTATGAGCAGCTTTATTGATTTGGAAATCAGGTTATTGTTGGGTCAGCAGTGAGGCAAACACACTCCCAAATTCCTTAGATTTAAATGTCTTCATTACTAATTTCTTTCTTGATTTTTCAAACACCAGTTTGCTCATTAAAGGTACACGGGGCTCCTCTGAGCTGCTCCACTCTGCAGTTCAGAGGCAACCTCGTCCCCTCTTCAGTGTCCTCTCCCCTTCAACACCGTCCTTCAGCTGCAGGCAAAGCCCTTCCTCCTCCCTTCCTCCACCTCTGCTGCTGCTACAGCTGAATTTATCTTTAGGATAGCAAATGACAAAGAATGATCACGTTTCCCACACAGTAGCCATTAAGGCTCTAGGGTCCAGTCAGGGGTTTTAATTTGCTTTTAAGTTTTAGGCAGTGAAGTTGATGAAAATCGATAAATCATTAGGTTCACGTATTTATAAATCGTTTTCATGCTGCTGTCAAACCGCCCAGATGCAGATAATTGCTGATGCTTTCTGGTCTGTGTGGCGTTTGCTTGGCTGTGTTCAGTGCCTCAGGAAAACACCAGGAATGTGGAACAAAGCTTCTGGATAAAGTCCTCAGCCCCACTGCCATCCTCTGCTGCAGGTGGGTACCCCAGGACTGCAGCAATGTCACGGCCCAGTGACAGGGGAGCACGCCAGCACAGCCCACGGCACAGCCACCACCCCGTGGGACTTGCCTGTCCTGATAATCCTCTCAATTTTGATGCTGGCATTGTCCAGTTCCTTGGCAAAGAGGTGCACAGCCTGCATGGGGTCTTCACAGGTGCTGGGGTCAATGTAAGTCCTCCTGGTTGGTATTTTAACTGCAGGGAAGGCAGAAAGGGCAGGTGAGAGGGGCTCGGCAGAACATCCACCCGCCCATCCTGGGAAACACTATCCCAGCTCATCCATCTCCTGTCTGTGGCAGAACCAACGTGCCACCTTTGTATAAGCAAAGCAAAAGACTCATTTCTAAGGTTTCTAAGATATCTTTTTTTGGATTGAGTGAATCCAGCTTCTCTGCTCCACTGCCACAACCCCTGGGTAAGGGACAGCAGCCCCTTTGCTCCAGTGAAGCTCCCACCCTCCAAAGCTAAGTGAAATGGTCAAGGCAGGTTCTTCTACTTCTGAGGTGCTTTGGGGAACAGAAAAGCATGGGCTTGTGCCAGGAATCAAATAAACTCATCAGTCCCAACATCTGAACTCCCTCTGACAACTGTGGTCTGTAAATTACTGCTGCTCAATAATCCAGAGTTGCCCCAGAAAACAAGGCAGTTTGCCCGTGTTCATGAGCAGCTGACAATAATTTATACACCCCATGTAAGCTGTGAGTATCCCCATTTCCTCTGGCAGCAGTGGCCCACAGGCAGCCAGGACAGACATTGGCACACGGAGCTGTCACCCCACGGTCCTCAGAGAGCCCTGCTGTGCTGGCCCCTGCTCTGGGATAACACAGCATGACAGCACTTCAAAAGTGAGGGCTCAGGGCTGCTTGGGTGGGTTATTAACCATGATGAGTACAGGGATCCCCACAGTTACACCGGCTGTGACAGCCGGGCACCACTTACAGTGGAAGTACAGCTCCTCGTCCCCATCCTGGCTGGCTTTGCTGTACCCACACTGCCTGCAAAGACAAGGAAGATGCACACCAGCACCCAGGCAGTAGCTCCTTAGCCCAGGTCCAACCCCTCTGGACTATGCCTGGCCCTGCTCACCTCCTCCAGACCACCACGCTGACCAGCACGGACACCAGCACCGTCAGCCCCACGGTGGCCACCACTGCGATGATCAGGACGGGTTTCTGCTCCCTGGAGGCCACTGTCACTGCAGGAGGGAAGCAGAGCCACTCATCAGCGTGCTCTGGGGCAGGTTTGAGGAGAGGAGCTGCCTTGGTGACTGCTCCCATGGCCAGCCTGTGTCCTCCAGAAGAGCTGTGGGAGCTTTTCACCATCCTCACAACAATTCCTGCTCTGGTTCAGCTTTAAGAGGCCAGGCTGGTGGGATCAGTCCCACTGCAGGCAGCACAGACAGAGCAACCCAGCACTGCTCCTGCTTTTGGTAATCAGAGCTGAGGAAGAATCCTATTTATCAGAGGAGCATATCAAAATTTATGGCCTTACAAATAGTTTTCTTTCATCACACTAATCCCTTTTCCTCCTGTTTTTGCAAACAGGGGTATTAGATAGCTACATTTCCTATAAAATTTTTATTGGCTTCAATTAATTCTGAAATGTCTTCTGTGTGGCAAATGAAGGCAATTTAAAGCCCTGTTAAACACAATCTGTGGGAGCTGTTCTGAGCCAGCCAGCTCAGCCTTGCTCTTCCAGCCAGCGTGGGGGATTGTGCCGAAGCCCAACATCCCTCCAGCTTCTCTTTTAGTGAAATAAGATGCTTTTGGACCACAGTTATGAATGGGAATTTGAAAGGAGAAGTCTCAGCAGATAACACTGCTGCTGGCTGCCCTGAGCCAGCCAAGGAGGAGGTAAGCCAAGTACCCCCTGAGCCAGGACAGCAGCAGGAGGCTGGGAGCAGTCACGAGCTAAGCAGGTTTTTGGGCAATTTCAGCCAAAGAGCAGAGACTGTCCCAGCCTCCTCATGAGAAAGGAGCCAGAGAGCAACTGCCCTCATTGACTCTTCACTGAGAAGAGACAGCAGGACCAACCTCATCAAAACTGAATGGGAAAATGCAAGGAAAAGCAAATTCCTGGACAGCAGTGGCCCTTAGACCTGGAGAAGCAGAAGCAGAGGAAGAGGTGCTGCTCCATGAAACCAGGGGCAGGAGCTGGGAGCATCCCCAGAGCTCAGCTCAGAGCCCTGCTGCACTTACACTCTGCCAAGGTCTCCACTTCAATGCCAGGGTTGTAGTTCCCATAGTCTGGGGAGGAAGATGTTCGGATTTGGAAAATGTAGAGGGTACCAGGCTTCAGGTTATTGACCGTCACGGCCGTGGATGTGGTTTTCACAGTTGAGTAACTTTGATCTCTCTGATCCTGTGAGATAATGAGATACCTGAGATGGAGCTGGGCTGACAGCTGTGCCACAGAGCCAGCATGGCACAGTGTATGCTCAGCTCTGGGCCCGCCAGGACAGCCTGTCCAAAGAGCTCCAAAAGAAACAACACATTCACTGGACGTCAGACCAACAGAAATTACGTGGGAAGGTCACAGGGAATGGCAGCTGGAGGTGGATGGTGCCGTGAAGACATGAAGGCAGAAGATGAGGTGGTGGGGACACCCCTCATGGAAACCTCCCCCTGTCCAGGCTCAGCTGGGGCACCAGCCAGCCCTTCCCTGCTCCCTGCTGAGGCTGTTGGGGTGCTGCAGCAAACCTGTGTGGATTGGGAAAGGGCAGTGGAGCCCCGAGGGGCACTACAGCACCACAGATTGGCACAGGACTGTCCCAGCCCCACAGCCTGGCATGGGCATGAGCAGCAGCCACTCGCTGCACTGCTCACATCACTACCAAATGTGCTTCCATTCAATAAGTTTTCCCCTTTGAATCTTCACAGTAAAAACAAAAGCCTTAAAAGCATAGATTAGGAACTAAGTTGATATCCATGTCAGCATCAAGAGCCTCATTTCAGTGAGTAACTGCTAAACTGAATTTAAATTCTCTACTCAAGGAGGAAAGTTCCTCATTTCATACCCCAAGTACCATGTTCCTGCAGCCCATTTGCACAGGAATTAACGTCTCGGGCTACAGCATTTGCCCTCCTCCACAGATCCCTCCTCTCAAATCTATCAGATGCTGGAAATCACATTAATATGAATCAGCTCCACGGTAGCTTGTTTCTAAATACAGAATGCTGACATGTCACCTGCACAGTGTGCCTGACACGCCGTCAGCTCCATAACGAGCCTGAGCACACGCAGATAAGGTAATTTGCAGAACTGTGTCATAAACTGCATTCATTTTGATTTAGAGCCTTGTCCCTGCTCTGCCCACTGGTATTTTTCTCCTAAAATTCCCAACCTACTGCACCTGTCAAACAGCAGCAATTTTTAAAATCAAGGAGCTGCCATAAAAATATTTGCTGGGTCCCCTGCCATGTAGAAGAGCCATCCACAGTCCCAGGTTTGTGGCTCTCAGTGCTAAACCAGTGCAGACCACAAGGTCCAACAGTCTCCTAGAGAGCAGGCTGGGAGTACAGAGACCACCTCCTGCAGCATGCAGGAACCCACTGTGGTGTCTCCGTGCCTGCCTAGCTGCAGTCACAGATGGATGGGCACCCCTGAGGGGAGCAGGGAAGGACACAGAGCCAGCAGGGCACGAGCAGAGCCCATGGCAGTGCCCAGAGCCTACCTTCTCGAAGTACTTGACCTCGTACTCGGTGCCATTGGCAGTCAGGAAGCCTGGCTCCTGCCAGGACAGCGAGACGCTCTTCTGCTCCACTTTATCTGTGCGGATGTCGGTGACGGGAGTTGGCACTGAAAATGCAGAGAGGAAACAGGCGGTGACTGAGGGGCTGCTCCTGCAAAGCCTTGTCCTGACACAGCTGGGGAGTGTGGCTCCTGCAGACACCAGTCCCCTCTCTCTGAGTCAGCTGCCCTCCTGTATCTCTGAATCCTGGAAATGGACTGGAGAGACCTGAATGTGTGGTCCTGACTGCTAACAAAGTCATCAGGAAAAATCCTACTCACTCTGGCATGTGCTTTAGAGCAGAGCCCATGGTACATGACAGAAAAGCAGGTGCCAGCCTCAAACATGTTTAAAAAACATTAAAGAAAATCACACGGGCTATAAAGCATTTCACACTGTGAAAAAAAAATGTGTTTCCCATCAATATTTTAAGCTCTCCTATCATTGCCTCTATTCAAAAAAGCAAACATTAAATTATTCACCACTCTGCCTGATTTTCTGAACTCCATTCCTCTGTATGTGGGTTTTCTCCTGTTGATTAACCAGCGTAGCAGCAGAACAGGCATAAAACTACACGTGGCACCGTGTCCCTGCCCAGAACAACTCGCTGCATCCAACAGCTGCACCCAGCAAGGGACACCAAACACCCCTGCTCGTGCCAGACAGAGCCACCTCTCCCCTCCCTCACCAGCTCCTAGCACCCCAACACAGAACACGCCTCAGAGATCTCCTTTGCAAAGCAGAGGAGCTGCCCCACCAGGGCAAGCAGCCCTTTCAGGGCAGAGACCCCAGGAGCTGAGACATTTGCCCCAGAGCCAGCTCATCCTGGAGCCCCACTGCCCACGGTGACTGATCAGCCCTGGGCATCCCCAGGCAAATCTACTTTGGAGGGACCAAAAACAGCTCAAGCTCCTTCTCCAGCCTCAGGAAGGGGGATGCATTCTGGCACGGGTTGCATTATTAATCAGCAGCAGATTTAAAAGCTCTTTAAGGCAGGAGCCTTGTATTCCTGCCGGGAATACAAATGACAGTGGCCTGGAGTGCACATTTACATGGCTAATGCAGCTCCACTCCTGCAGGCAAACAGCTCCCCTCACTCCTCAAACACCTTTATTTAGTCCCATGCTGGGGACAGATTAGAAAAAACACAGTATTAATTTTGCCACCTGCAGACTAAATTGCATCTCTTCTTTTCACTGCAATTATGAGGAACGATGGACAATTCCCTCTGGTGACTGCTGGAGGGGAAGGCCAGCACAGAGCTGCACTCAGAGCTGGATTAGAGGAGCAGGATCTGACAGCTAAATAGAGTCTTGTTTCTTGTTTAATTTTTCCTCTTATCAGCAGACAGAGCTCCCCTGCTGCTGCAAGCACCTTCTGAGAGCTCAGCCTGGCAGCCACCACAGAAGGCATCCCCAAATCTCCTTCCTCCTGACCTCTGGCCCCATCCAGCACTTCTGTGGCGGGCTCCAGTGACAAGGGGCTGCAGAGTCAGGACTCCAAGAAGCCATGTGCTCCCAGGAGCAGCTCCCCACGCTGTCCCTGCCAGCTGTGGCTCCGTGTCCTGCCCACGCAGGGTCCCCTCCTCGCAGTGGGGTCTTACAGACCAACCCAGCTCTGCAGCCACTCCCCCAGGAGACAACCTTCTCCCCTTCTTTGGTGGGCATGGGTTAACCATCGCTGCTACCCCTTGCACACGGTGCAAAGGCAAGAGGAAGCAGGGCACTGCTGACAGGGCAGCCCTGGCCTGGCACTGCCCGGGAGGGGACACCCTCAGCAATAAAAACTCTCAGTGGTCCAAGAAACTCCTGAGCCTCAGCTGCTTGGGTAATTCTGAGCCACTATCTGCATCTGGAGACTTGACAGCTCAACAAGAGGCATTGGTTTTGAACAGATTACAGGATTAATTATCCACATTCTTGATGTGCATTTCAGTTCCCCCAGGAGTACACGGTATTGAGTAAGGGGCTGAGATTTCCCCCTTCCCCAGGGGAAAAGCTGCTCTTAGCAGCCAAGGCATGGGCTGGCATCACTGACTTGCTGCTTTGCTCCCTAAGAGAACGGGGCACTCACTGCCCACAGCTGGCCCAGCCCAGACCTGGGGGCCCAGGCAAGGTGGGACCTCCAGAGCACCGGTGCCTCTGCCTGCACCAGGCTGGAGGAAAGCCTTGTGATCAGATCTCTCTAAGCTCACCTCACCCCAGCCTGCTCTCTGTCCCCCTGGCCTGAGCTCAGGAGGCAGAAGACCTTCCCAGAGCTAAATCCATCCTTGAACAGCAAAGATCCTAATGAGGAATGACACCTCTGCTGAGGAGCAGTCTGCAGCACAGCATCCCCCAAAGGAGCCACAGGATTATGGTATGAGGGAAGAGACAGCAACAACGTGCACAAAAACATTTGATCAAGCAGTGGGAAAATTATTTATAACAAGATCAAAGTTTAATCTCTTCAGATGAAATTGTTGGGCCACTTCCTGCCAAGAGGTACCTGAGGATCATCTGTTTCCATTAACTGTGGCTTGGGAAAGGGTTTTCATGCAAATTAATAGTGTAACCACAGAGGAACAGACAAGGACATGACAAGGCAGAGCTGACTGTCCTTCAGCATAGCCAGCAGCAGAGGAGGGACCTGACTGTCCTTTGGCACAGACAAGAGCTGAGGAGGGACTCCTCAGCCAACCCCTCTGCTCAGGGATCTGTCCACAGGCACGGGCACTCACTTCCCTTACCCGAGGGAACAGAAATGCCAAACTGGAAACGGAAGGGGACAATTACAATAAGAATTGTGTCACAGACCAGCGCAGGATAAAGAGAGGAAATCAATTTTTTTGTTTCTGAAGGATAGCCAACATTTGAATTATCTGTTTTAAGGAGCGTTTTTTGATGAATGGGCTGGAAATGTTGCTTCATCAAAGAGGTTTTTTTTTTATGATTTGTAAACTCAAACTGCTGCCTGACCACAGAGCAGACTTCTCCCTTCAAAGTTCAGGTATCAGCATGCTCACTGCTTGCATCCCAACAGCACCAACTGAACCCTCCGAGAGTGCCATGGGCCAGTATTCATCTGCCCCTCTGCCACACCTAAGCACCAGGACAAATACATTTGTGCTCCCAGAACAAACCGAGCAGGAACCGCCCAGCCCCAGGACGGTGACCACACCACCTGCAGACTCTGTTTCCCAGCAGCAAAGCCACCAAAACCCTGGATGCAGAGCACACCCCAACACCCCAGAGCTGATAAAGCACACCCCAGAGCTGACCCAGCACACCCCAGAGCTGACCCAGCACACCCTACACCCCAGGGCTGCCGTGCCCTGCCCGTGCGTGGCACGTACCCGTGTGGCCGGTGGACACGGTGACCTCGGCGTACTGCTGGCCGGCCAGCGGGCTGAGGGCCGAGACGCCGTTGAGGGCCAGCACGCGGATGGTGTAGTTGACGTGAGGCAGGAGGTTCACCAGGGTGACCGTGCGCTCCACCAGCCCCGTCTGCTGCGGCACGAAGCCCACGCTGCTGCCGCAGTGCTGGCAGCGGCCCGCGGGCACCGCCGGGCAGCGGCCGCACCACAGGCTGTAGGTCAGGTCGCTGCGGCCGCCCGCGTCGGCCGGGGCACTCCACTGCAGCACCAGGGATGACTGCCGCAGGCTGTACACCAGGTCCCTCGGCGCAGACGGGGGACCTGCAGGCGACACAGTGTCCGTGAGCAGGTGTGGGTGTTGCTATAGTTTTGGAACTCAAAATGTCCCTCAGACAGTTTTGGATGTTCCAGGCCCAGGTCAGAAGCATTTGAGACCCTGGCAGGCAGCTGGAAACAGCTGTGATTTTGGGTGTGAGCCATGGAATGATTTACCAACTTTGCAGGAAGAACAAAAAGTCACAAAAGTTTAGATGTTATAGTAGAAGTAGTTACAAAGTAGAGGGAAGAATTTTTTAGTATTGTACAAGGGGGTTTAAACACCTGTACAGGGGGGGTTTTACTTTGTACATGGGGGTCAGAGGGTTTAAGATGCAAGAATGTAGGCCAGTCCTGTTTCTCCTCTTTCTTCTTCCTTACCTCCATGTTCTTGGTGATGTTGGCACTCACAGATTGGTTTAGAGTAGAAAAGCACCATTTAATATAGGTAATGGGCATTGGGGACAAACTGTACCCATGTAACACGTAATGTCCCATATAAAAGATAGAAAAGCACCATTTAATACAGGTAATAGGCATTGGGGAAAAACTGTACCCATGTAACACGTAATGTACCATATAAAAGACAGCAGCAGCCCTGGGCGGGGAGAGAAGAAGCAGTCGGGAGTCAGAGAGGATGTCAGGGTGTGTGTGTGCCTCTGCCTGAGCTGTGAGCAAACCACAGCAGCTCAAGAAGAAAATCTTTTAGATAACTTGCAATAAACTGCCTTGAGACCGAACAACAAGAGACTGCTGAGCCTTTCTTTGGAAGCACGGGTTGGAGGAGGGATTTTTCCACCACACTGAGGCACTTCCCATCCTGCTTTCCTTCAGTCCCCACCCCTGTGGCAGAAATCAGCTGGAATGAAGTGTGGAGTGACAGTGCAAGGAACAGCCAGAGTCCTGCAGCTCCTCCTGTCCAGCTCTGCTGGGGCACAGGGGCCACCCCAGTCCCCTCCAGAGGCTCTGCAGAGGGGGCACTGAGCTGCTCCCATGCTCCCTTCTCCCCGTGGGTCACATCTGTCGGAGTCCAGCACACCCCTCTGGCTGCCCTGGCTCTCTCCAGACCCTGGCAGGGGCTCAGAGACCTTGGCATGAAGTCAAAAACATCTGTGGCTTCGATTTTAGCCTGTGGAAAGCTGTCAATTTTGTGTGAGGAATTACACGCCACAATGGTTTGAGTAGTGTGGTAGTTGAATTAACACAGGGTGGAAAAGTAGAATTTTGGGGCTTTTCAGAATGGGATTCAGGGGGACAAGATGGAGGGATTTGGACGTGTTTTGGCCTACTTCTCCTTCTTCTTGCTCTCCATGTCTTGGTGTGATGGTGACACTTTGCTATTGGTTTAAGGCAGAGACACACTGTCTAACATAAGTGATAGATTTTGGCACGTTATTGTAAATATAGTACAGGTAGTTTTTGGTATAAAATGTAAACACCACCCTGAGGGCACACAGAATGCCATGGCCTCCTTGCTAGACAGAGCTCAGCAGGTCAGAGACAGAATGTTATAGATAAGGAAAAATAAACAACCTCAAGAAGCCAACCTTATGCATCCAGACTTCTTTGGCTGCACGGGCTGGACTTTTACACTCTTGGGGTCATCCCAACACCGAGACATCCCCTCCCCAGTGCAGCAGCACCCCAGCACAAAGCCGAGGTGACACACAGAGCAGGCAGGGACAGCCTGGGCACTGCCTGGCCCTGTGCTCAGGACAGACAGAGCCTGGGCTGCTGCCTCGCTGCGGGGCTCCAGCCAGACCTACGTGTGCAGGAGGCAGATGGCGGGTCTGAAGGAGACCTGGAGTAATTCGTCTGGCACAAACAGAACGTGGAGGCTTCCTCGTGCGTGAAGCTGTGCTCAGGGCATGGAGAACAGAGAGGGAGGCGGAGGGAGAGCTTGTAAAACCCCGGCAGGCAAGCTGAAAGAGAGAGAGGCTGTTAAGAGAGAGCAGCACAGGACAAACTGGGACATGTCTGATGACTGCATTTCCCTGTTTCCTGGAACCTCCTTTGCTGCCCCTGGCCAGCAGACACCACCCTCTAAGCTGCTTTCCCTGAGCCACCTGCATGATCCTGGCATGAAAGATGTCCCTTGGTTCTACCCATTTGAGTTCTGTAGCTCTGACTGACTTTCATAGTAAATGTCACTCCTTATCTAGGGTGCTGGATAAATCAGGAAAAAATAGCAAATGTTAAAATTACCCCCAAAACTTATATTTCCTTCTTTAGAGCTGAGAAACCAAAGCAGAACTAGTAGCATATTCATAGAATGGAGACAGAGTGTGCTTTTTCCTTTAGTTAGGCAGCATTGACCACCACACAAGGCATCAGACACAACAGGAAAATCAATCCTGTTTACAAACATGATGGGATCCAAGCACTAAACCCAGACCCCCATCCCTCAGATGTGCCTGTCACACAAATCTGACATCTCATCGCAGGAAACCGAACATTTCCAATTAGAAGTGTCTTTCAGACTAGTCCACCCTGTTTTCTAACAGCCAGAAGTGAGTTTACAGAAGTGTCTGTCATTAATAATGACACAAAATGCCCCAGATTGCATGTCCCGGGAGCAGGCACCACAACCCCATATGAGTGTGTCCCACAAGGAGCCATGGGCTTTACTTGCTAATTTTTTTTCCTTGTCTGTCCAAAACTTGCCCTTGAGAAGAACAAAAGTGCCCAACACATGTGATGCATCATATGTGTGTCTCTGTTTCTTTTTTCAGACAAACTCCCACCCTCTTCCACCTCATCCTACGAGTGTTTTTCTTGGTCTCCAGCTGGTTTAGGTGTCCCTGTCATTTCACAGTGCTTATTTCTGCAGTGGGTATGTGACAGCTCATGGGGGATCAGGTCATCAATTTATAGAATGAAATTCTCTTTTTTTGTACACTGCTTTCTATCCTGTTCTGGTCCTCTGGTGCTGCCACAACTAAATTATTAAACAATAAAATTGAATTTCATTGTCCCAGAGCCAAAGAGAAGCAGTCAGATGGGTCAGATGGATCAACTGCTCTCTCCAGCTCCACCACTGCTGACCACAGAAGCTCCTCAAGTGTGCCTGATCCCTGTCACTGACAGAAAGAGCACATTCCCCTCAAGGTAACACTTTGCACACTGCCAGACCAGCAGCAGAATCAGCTGCACTGACTTGTGAGGCGGGTTGGCTGAATACCCAGCATGAAGTAACCTTGGGAAAGGTTTCTCTTACCACCTCATCTGACACAGCTCCTCAGTCAGGAGCAGGTGTCTTTGAGAGAGAGCAACGTCCTCTCTCATTCCCAGCCTGTGCCATAGGGAAAGCAGGGGCACCTGAGGATGCAGACCTAGAAAAAGCATGGTTTGCTACTCCAGTGGCACAGGACAGCTTTCCATTTCCCTTCCCAGTGAAGCCCTCCCAGCAGCAGCACCGTGTGTGCCAGCATGAATTAATAACAGCTGCAGCCTCACTCAAAATGCCTATACAAGCATTTATAATTAACACTACAACCCGGTTGTCTTCCAAAATCAGTTCCTTTCCAGTTTTGGTCATGGAATTGTATCTGACAAAGTTCATCTGCTTTAATGTGTGTTACTTTTCTCTGTTGAACAAGACATTCATCAAAATGCTCTTTAGGAAAGCTGCAGCTGAGGAAACAGGCAGCCAGCACTGGAGGTGCCACAGCAAGAACCAGGACAGCACCCCAGGCTGAGGCACTCCAGCAGCCTGACCATCCCAATCTCTCCCAGCAAAGGGCAGACTGGGAGCACTGGGCCCCCTCCAGCTCTTAGGCTTGCATCCAGCCCCCCTGAGTGGCACTCAAACCTGCAGTCTCACCCCTGTTGTTCACAAAGCATCTCTCACAGGAGCTCTTGCCCCTGCTGACCCCTCACTGGACCAGGCTGGCACAGCCCTACTCCATCTGTCTAAATCCCATTATCAAGGCACTGTTTATCATGTTCCAAACATTTCATCAGTGCTGCAAAGTGCCTCAGGGCAGCACAGGGGGAAGGAGGGGGCAGCAGCCCCAAGGAGGGACAGATGCTGCCAGGCAGAGCCCATGGACAAGGACACGCTGCCCAAACCAGGCAGGGCACCTTGTGTAAATCACTGACACAACAGAGTTTCAGTGGGGCACTGAGGTGGCCAAAGAGCCTCGCTGGAAAATGTCCTTGGGTAGCAGAGAGGCTCCTGCCCCCTCCACGCTGAGTTTGAGATCTCACCTTGTCTTACTGCACCAGCTGTGATCAATACTGCAGGCAGAGAAGGGACAGCAGTCGTGTGCAATCCCTGTGCCAGTGTGAGAGGGACAGTCAGCACGAGGAGCAATCAATGCAAGCACTGAGTCAGGCTCTTCTCACCTCGGCTCCATCTCTGCCAGGGTGGGAACGTTGGGCTGCACCACCCCAGAGAATCCAAAAGCACTTTCCCTTCCACACAGTTTGGAGGTTTTTAATAACTGGTTTTCAACAAGCAGCCTATGGTCCAACACATTGCCAGCAATTCTGACACCTCTAGACAATGCTACTCTGTAATTTTTGTCCTTGTTAAATAATTTGTGGAGTACTAAAATGAAAACCAGTGTCCAAGGGCAAGATCCCTGTGCATCCCCAACAACGAACTCTTAAAAGCCAAAATTAAATTTAGTGATTTAGTCCAGAAGAAAGACAGTCTTGAAATATCTAACAGAGTGCATTTGATGAATCAAGCCAGGAGTGACAGAACCTCATTGCTATTTATGCCAGAATGTTCCTCAAGGACACGCTGAAGCAGGCACATCCTCTGAGCCAAGTGCAATCCACTGTTGTCTCTCTCAGCTCCCTCATGCATCCACCAAGCAGTTCCTGGTGAAGGACTGGCTGACCTGCCTCTCCAGCACCCTGCTGAGCACTTTAGCTCACACAAACCCCCTCAGCTGTGGGCAAGACACGTCCCCTCTGGATTTCAACAGCCCATCCAACACGTTCATCCAGCATCCAGATATCCATGACCTTAACCTCACAGGAATTCTGCAAGCAACTTGTGATGCTTGTAATTGTCAGAGCAGCTTGCTCTGAAATTAAATGTCATGGAGCGATTTGTGTCTGGATCTGTCACGACTTCCAAAGCCATCATTATTTCAGGCACCCTGTGAGCAGCAATGTAACGTGCAATCCCAAACGATGAACACCTCCAAGGATGGGCATTACTGCAGACAGACTGGATAAAGAGCTCATTTTACATGGCTGTTCCACGTGTGGCTGGTGGGCAGCAGCATCCAACACCTGGCTGATCCCACCTCACAACCCCCCTCAATGTGCCCAGCTCCAGAATTCCTCTGGAATTTCCTCCAATTCCACACAGCAGCAAGCACAGGGCCTGGCTGTTGCACGCCTGTGGCTGCATCCATGATGAAAGCAAAACCTGGTGCTTTGTGCAACTTGCAGAGCCCCAGGAGGAAAAATAAACGTATGCATAATCCTCCAGCATCAGTCAGCAGATAAAGTACACTCCAGGAGCACTTACAGGTTTGTAAGCTAATGTATAAAAGATGAAACAAATCAAAAGCTCCAAGTGCTGTACATTTGGATTCATCTTTTTTGTATTTAAACAGAAAAGGAGACCTCAGGCTTCAGGAGGTATCTTAGCAGTAAATGACAAAATATTGTAATTTATTATTTTAAATTTCTCTAACTTCCAATTGAACTATTTCTTTTCCACCTAAGGACACTGCAGTGACACAATGCTGTGGTGGGACATATCCAATGGACAGAAGAGCATCTTAATCACCCCACATCCCACTCCCACCCTAAACCTCCATTTTCTCCCTAAGAGAGATACAAATAAATCTTCCTTGTGTCTTGTCCATAGCAGGTTGAATTCAACATGCTGCTCAAAAATCCATCCAATGATGCAGACAAGGAGGGAGAATTTCTGTTATTCCCCATTTCAAACAGCACCTGTGGACAAGGCTGTGACTGAAGCCACCTCCTGTGCGAGGTTTTGCTCCCCAGAAAAGCAGCAACACTCATCTCTTTAAAAGGTCATTTAAAAATCCTGACAAAGCACTAGAAACTATTTCAGCTCTAAAACTGTTTCCAGTGATGTCATTCCCATGCAGACAAGGGACAGGGACACTAATTAGACCATCATTGACTGGACCAAGCAGGGCTCCAGGTGCTGGTGAGGGGCAGCAGAGCATGGGACACAGCAGCAGGGCAGAGCTGGCTCCTGCCAGTGCTGTCAGAAGAGGAGGAAAATGAACTGAGGGGGAGACTTTGCCAGAGCACAAATTTACGTTTCTGTCAAAGAAGAGTGGCTGGCAGCTATTTTTGGTAACTGGCCTCCATCATGTTCATGCAATGTCTGGTTTAAGTTGTCTTATTTGCAGCAAATCTGGCTGGTAAATATTAACCTTGAGCTTTGTTGAAATTCTCCTTGCAGATATTACTAGAGATTGGATAGAAAAGATGAAGCAGAAGGAGGCAATTTTGAACGAAAATGTCAGGCAGATCCCCCACATCCTGGCTTAATTTACACAAAAGCTATTGCTACACAGCACAAAACAAACAGCACAAAGGGGCTACAGCTCACACCTGACAAAATTATTGCCAAAAAAGACATCAAAGCTGAGAAGCCAAGTGAAAATAAAACAGGGATGGGCAAGGGCTCATCCCCAGAGCACAGGACTGCCCAATTGCCTGCCATGCATCCTCTGGGAATGGGTTTTATGGTCAGACTAAGCACAGAGCAGCATCTGGCTACAGAGATACATCAGACAAGACAAGCAGTCTGAGTGCATTTTCAGTGACAAACTCTCCTCTTCTTCATGAGTGGATGTTAAACAGACACTAAAGCTGTGCAGTCCCACCCCAGAGATGGCTGCACTCACCGAACACCAAAACAATTCATCAGGAACTTGTCAGGAGTGCTGGGGTGCCTCTGGAGCAGTGGTGCAGGACAGGAGGATGGACATGGAAAGACTCAGCTTTCCTGCAGCCAGAATTAGCAGAGTCAGAAAACCTATTGGCCTTTTTGTCATCTCTCCGAATTTCAGAGTGAGGACACAAACCTTCTCTTGGATGTTTTCAGTATTTAAATCATGATCACAGGGACACCAGCTATGCCACCAAGGTTAAACACCTTCACCAGTTCATCTCCTGCATCCTGCACTGTCACCACCGCCATGGTCCTGCTGCCACCACCATGGTCCTGCTGCCACCACCACCATGGTCCTGCTGCCACCACCACCATGGTCCTGCTGCCACCACCACCATGGTCCTGCTGCCACCACCATGGTCCTGCTGCCACCACCACAGTCCTGATGCCACCACCACGGTCCTGCTGCCACCACCACGGTCCTGCTGCCACCACCACAGTCCTGCTGCCACCACCGCAGTGCTGCTGCCACCTCCACCCTGACCCCCATGCCACCCCACAGGCACCAGCAGCAGCAAAGCCCCCACCACCCCCAGTCCACCACCCAGACCTCTCAGGCCCACAAGAGCTGCAACAGAGACTGTGGCTAAGAAGTTTCATGGGCCAGCAGGACTCACACCCTCTGAGCCCTCCAAAGTCACCAGCACAGGACCACGGTGGTGGAGCCAGGTGTGTTGTGCCATCACCTGGTTGGTTTAACACCCCCAAACTCCCAAAGCACCCACCTGCCTCCAGCTCAAGGGCTTTTGTCGTCATTGAAGAATTTCCACAGCCCTGGCAGCTTTCATCAGAAATCTTTTAAAGCTATTCACTTAGCACTATGCTAATGTAGGGCTGCAAACAAACCCAAAACTTTCAACCCTTAAAAACTATTTTCTGGTATTTGACCAGACATCAGACGCTGCTCCACAGAGAATGACTAATGACCTGCTTTCTGTGAGAGGGGAGAGAAACTTAATTATGTCCATTAAATTACTTCAAATATTTTTCCTCGGAGAATATGAATTATTTAAACTCAACACAGAGAAACCTGAAACATTAGCAAAAGCCTTCTGGGACTCACTATGTAAATCCCCACTCCAAACAGATGTGGAAAGCATGGCAAGCTGCCATGCAGCCACCGAAGCAATCAACAGCACTGAGATTTCAATTTGATAGCTTTAATAAGGTCTTCTTAAGGAGAAACCACTGCCCAGAGCACTGGGAAGGGCATCTCACCACCTGGAGGAGGCAGCACCATCAGCACAGTGAGAAGCCTGGAGGTGCTCCTGAAGGGCAGGAAGCTCACTCTCCTACTGCACCACCTGCCTCCAGTGTGGGGGAACTCCACCTGCCTGGGATTTATTTAGCTGTTTTCCCCTCGGTCTGTTTTTGAGGTGAAAAGGGAGAGATCCAAGGCAGCAAAGGCATGGGTATCAAAGGGTCTTTTCAGACGTGTTTTACTGAAGAACACAGCCCCTCTCCCAGGTCCCAGCTGGCAAGAATGTGCCTGGGGGTGGCATTAGCCCAGCAACTCTCTCCATTCAGAGGCTCCACACTCTGAGGAAGAGCAGACAGCCAGCATCCCACACCTGGCTCTCACCTGCCTTTGAAAGCGAGATGGAAGTGGTCAGAACTCCAGGTTTGTTAGTGGGATGCAGAGGGTGCATCCATTTTTGCAGCTGCCCTTAAACATAACCTTGTGAGCTGTAAAGTCACCAAATTAATAAACCATGTCCAAAGCGTATCAATAGGGATATTAATGTTCTAGAGTAATTTTAACATTGCAGATAAAGCTGTGGGAATGCCTGACAGCATCCAGAGCTCAGACACGTCTCCCCAGCCAGCACCATGCTGCAAACAGCTCCATGCCCTCCAACTGCCACCCTCCAAACAAACCTCTGGTGGTTCACTGGGGAGCTGCCACCACCCAAACAAACATATTGCTGGCACAAGACAATTCCTCTTGTCCAAACTGCGCTCAGGCACCAGAGAAGTCTGGCAGCAGCATGGACTGACACAGGCAAAAACTGCCAGGCCACCGATGGCCACTTTTACCTCTGCATCCCCCGTCCTTCTCCTCAAAGCCAGGGCTGCACATGCATTTCCCTATGGGGACCAGCCACTCGCCCTCAGCGCTGCAGTGCATCCGAGGGGGGTTATCCACATCCACCTCAGCATGGGCAACACAAGTGCCCTTCACTTCCACCAGCGTCACAAAGGCCGTCTCTGCCACCGTGTCTGGGAACATGGCCAAGTTCTGCACGGTGCTGAGACACTTCTTGTAATAAACCCGCACGGAGACCAGCGCCACGCAGGCGCCCACGTCCTGGAAGCCCAGGTGGAAGCCTCTCTTGCTCAGGTGCCCAATCTCCCTCAGCTCAGTGTTCAGCTTCATCTTGCGCTCGCCCAGGTCTCCCTGCGTGAAGCTCTCGTCAGCGGCGATGGTGTCGATCTTGGTGTGCCTGCTGTCACGCACGCTCCGGCCCAGGTCGGAGTCAGACTCCACGTAGTACAAGTTGAAAGTCTCCTTGCAAGTGCTCGTCACCCCAGGGATGCTGTTGCAGTCCCTCAGGGTGAATTTCAGCTCAATGAAGATCCTCTGGCCGTCACGCCTGGCGATCCAGCCCGTCTGCAGCCAGTTGTTCTGGTTGGGCTCCATGACGTTGCAGACCTGGTAGGTGCGTATGGGTCTGTAGGTTTCATCCACGCCGCTGATCTCTTCCCACTGGGGACAAAACACAAAGCTCGGGAGCTGCCCCAGCAGATTCACACCATGAGGAGGTCCCGTGGCTGCCAGCCCCATCCCAGCTCTGAGGGAAGCAAAAGCTCTCATAAAGCAGGACTTCAAATGCTGCTGAGCACCAAAAGCTGACAGACCCTTTCACCCTCTCCAGTGGCGCAGAGGGACAGTCCCACCCCCGAGCTTACCCCGTTCGATGGGTGTGAGGTCCAGCCCAGCTCTGCCTGCGATTCCTTGGAGTCCAGCAGGACAACTGCAGGGAAGACAGCAGGTTAGGAAAACCACCGACACAGGAAATGCTGGTAAAAAAATGCTGGTAAAACCCACCAAGTCCATGCATTTGGAAGCTTAGTGCCGTGCTGTGCCAGGTCTGCCGAGAGCAGCTCCCACCCCGGTTCCACCAGCCATGGCATCACCGTGTGAGCGCCAAGCGCCACGAAGCTGTCACTGCACACCCAGAACAACCTCGCAGGTGCCTGATCAATGCCCTAACGATTTGCAACCCCAGGAACGGTTCCTCGGACACCACAGACAGCACTGCCACTGTTCCATGCCCACAGCGTGCGGATGCTGGAACTGAAAGGCACCAGCAGCTGCTTTGAAAGACGGATTTCCCTGGCAAACGACACCCTTTTTCCTCAAACCAGCCAATTCTGCCTTTGACGGGAAGAGCTATTTCCCTCAGTTCACAGCTTCACCATCCTTCCACAGCCAGCAAACAGCCACAGCTCCCGACCGGCAGGTTCAGACACCGGGAACAAGGGGCGCGGCGGCGCATCCCCGGCGGGCGCATCCCTGGGCACCGTTCCGCCCGCAGCGCTCCGGGATGCTCCGAGACACTCTTCTCGCCTCCGGGACCGGTGGGGTCCGTCCGTGGCAGCGCAATCTCCGCGAACACGGACCCCGGGGCTCGAACCGCCTCCCTGTCACGGTAGTGCCAGCGCGCTGTCGTGCCTCCGGTGATCGCGGGGACCGGGACACCCCGGGCTGACCCGGTCACTCAACCCGTCCGTTCTCTCCCGCTCCTCCGGCAGATCTCCGCGCCCCGGACAGCGGCGGCACATCCGCCGCACAACCCGTCCGGCCAGCCCCGGAGCGACCGCTCCCGGTACCGCAACGCGCAGCCCGACCCGCCGCGGGCAGCCAAAGTCGGGGCCGATGCGGCCACACCACGCGCCGAGGCAGCCGGGCACGGGGGACACGGCGGTGACGGAGCACCGGGGACACGGCGCGGGAGCGGCGAAGAACCGGGAGGCGCCGGAGCACCGGGAGGCGCCGGAGCACCGGGAGGCGCCGCCGCCTTGCCCAGCTCACCCTGCTCGGCGGCGGCGCGGGGCAGCACGGGCAGCACGGGCAGCAGCGGCGGCAGCAGCAGCAGCAGCACCGGCAGCGCCGGCAGCGCCGGCAGCACCGGCAGCACCGGCAGCACCGGCAGCACCGGCAGCGCCGTCTCCATGGCGCCGCGACTCCGCGCCCCGCGCCGCCGCCGCGCCAACCGCCGCCGCCGGGGCGGGGCCTCGGCCCGCGCAGCCAATGGGAGGCGGGGGCGGGGCGAGAGGGGCGGGGCCAGGGCGGGCGGGCTCCGCTGGGGGATCGGGTTCTCCCACCGGGCTCGGTCACCGGGCTGGCTCACCGGGCTCGGGTTCTGCCACCGGGCTCGGTCACCGGGCTCGGGTTCTCCCTCCGGGCCTGAGTTCTCCCTCCGGGCTCGGGTTCTGACACGGGGCTCGGGTTCTGCCACCGGGCTCGGGTTCCCCCACTGGGCTTGGGTTCCCTCACCGGGCTCGGGTTCTGCCACTGGGCTCGGTCACCGGGCTCGGTCACCGGGCTCACGTTCTCCCACCGGGCTCCGTCACCGGGCTCGCTCATCGGGCTCCCTCACCGGGCTCTGTCACCGGGCTCTGTCACCGGGCTCTGTCACTGGGCTGGCTCACCGGGCTCGCTCGCTCACCAAGCTCCATCACCGGGCTCCATCAGGGGGCTGGCTCAGTCTCAGGGCTCCGTCACCTGGCTCGGTAACCGGGCTCGGGCTCCGTCACCTGGCTCGGTCACCGGGCTGTCACCAGGCTCGGGCTCCGTCACCGGGCTCCGTCACCGGGCTCGCTCGCTCACCGGGCTCCGTCACTGGGCTGGCTCCATGGGCATCCCCTTTCCTCTCAGTGTTAACTTTACTGCTGAGGAAGCTCCCATCCACTTATCAGTGTTCTTCCCTTCCTCCCATCCAGGACTCAGTGTGGATCAGTGCAGCAGCCCTGGAGCCCCTCCTGCCCTGCACACACAGCCCAGGGACTCCTGGTGGGACCAGGAACAGCCACGCTGACTGGGGCACGAGTTCATACCACCAAAACCCTCCCTCCATCAGCTTACAGAGCAGGGAAGCAAAAGACAGGGTTTATTTATATTCTTCCTCAAGTGGAAACCAAAAGAAGTGACCTGTTATTACTGAAGATTTCTCAAGCCACCCAGGAAGAAAAGTGATATTTAGTTGTCGTTAAAGGCTCAGAACTGCATAACAATTTCATGCTATGTTAACTTCTAGGTTTTCTCTCGCATATAAATTTTTAAGGAGTAAAATAGAAAAACGCAGGCACTTGACCTTTAATCACAGTTATTTGTGTGATCAGTCAAGTGTGGGAAAAAGCTAGTTTGTGCTTGAAAGATGCCCTTTAAAGCCAGATTGCTCTAATATGACACACAACTCTCACAGTGTAATATACAGGATCTTGCTTGCCTGCCTCCAGGCACAGCAGCTTCCTTTTAGTATTCACACACTGGGTCTTGCTGCTGGGACAATGGAAGGTATCAATGTCATAAAGCAAATCAATCCAGCCCCCTGGGACAGCTCCATTCACCACCGAGCTCCACAGGCATGTTCACTTTCCTGTCACTGAGGAGCCAAGCAGGGAAGAGGATTTTGGAAGTATATGGAGGATTTGATGTTAGATATGTTTTACTAGAAGAAGGGTTTGTCATGTTAAAAGCACACAGCTTATCCATTTATCTGAAATATTATTCCAAGCACTTATAAAATCTTGGTAGTAGAACAGCCAGAGGTATTTTAATTAAGATTTTAAGTACCATGCTTTGGGAAAATGATCTCATGAATTTTGTTTCAGCAGCAGCAGATGACAAAGCCATTGCTGGTGTGAAGAAAACAGAGACAGAGCAGCCTTTAATGGATACTACTGGATTTCTTCACAACAGGATGGAGGGATGCTGTCCCCAGGATGGCACAGCACGGGGCCAGTATCTGCAGGTGAAGGAAGAGGAACGCCAGGTTCTCTGGTCACCTCTGCTGCTCACATCCAGCTCTGAGGCTGCTGCCCTTCCCCACTCCCACCTGGAGCCCGCAGAGACAAGAGCAAAGGGAAAGCAAAGACATCAGGTCAGCCAGGCTCCAGATTGTCAGGGGAACTTGTGCAAAGAGCAGGGCTAGCCCAGAAAATGTGTAATTGGCAAAGTTGAGCTATTACCTGCTGTAAGTGGAGACAGAAAGATAGTTTTGACACCACAGTGAAAATAACCCTCCTGGAAAAAAAAAATCAATACAAACACCAAGGAAAGAGAATCAGAAACCAAGACCATCAATTCCTGAGATAAAGAGAGTTGAAAGTCTCAGTGGGAGGACAGCGAGATCTGTACTGAAAAACAAAACTTTACTTCTTTTGCTGACAAATGACTTTTTATGCTAAAGGACAAAGGAGCCATGAGGATGCAGGCCTCAATGTACAGCTGAAAGAGCAATCCTGGACAAAAGATGGAGCAGGCAGAAACCTCATGGAAGCTTTTGCACCTCTCCTTTCTCTTCCACACTTGCAAGATTATTGTACAATGAAAAACAAAGGATTTCTGCAATTCTGTACTGTTTTTGGCATGTCACACAAACACACTCCAAGCCTTCTGCTGTGACAAGGGCAGAGCCAGAGCAGGGGAAGCAGCAGCAATGCAGCACAAGTGTGCCTGGCATTAGGGAATATCCCACAGAGGAAAGTGGCCCAGAGAATCAGGTCCCAGGGGCACCTCACCAGTCTGCCACCCCCAGCTGATCCCAGGGGCACAACGCTCCATCACAGCCAGTGCTGGCTCATCCCTCCTGCTAACTGGCAGAAATCACAGTGAAAATGGAAGTTAATTTAAAGACTCCTCCTGGAAGAGAGCCCACACGGGGACAGCAATTAGGCTCCAGATCTGGGGTCACCCTGGGGTGGGGCTGGCCTGTGCCCTGTGCAGTGGTTCAGGTCGCTGTCACATTTGGCTATCCAGAGCTGGAAGATGCAGTTCCTCAGTGGAACTGAGGACATTTCAGACATTATTCAATCCCAGACTGAACAATTTATCCATAAACCTTCCTAATGAGCCTGATAGTGTAGGAATGAGAGAAAGTAGCATTGTTATCTGTAAACAGCAGCAGCTGACAGCGTGTTTAATCACAGGCTACATAACAGTGACATCCGTGGAGAAGAGGATTTGACACTTCTCCAATTAGTCAAACAGCAAAAGCACGAACACAGAGCCTGAGGCTCACTGAACCCAAAACAAACAACAAATATCAGATCTGGGGAGTCCCAGTGCGGGGGAGGCAATTGGAGCCAGGGGCAGGCTGTGCTGGAGCCCTCCCCAACACCCTGAGGGCAGCCAGCATTCGAGGGGAGCCCTGGCACCACTGCAGAGCCAAAGCCACACTAATACCACAGGCTCTGCCCTGCCTCGAGATCTGCAGCCTGCCTCTGCCTAACAGGATTTTGCAATCCATGGTGAACATGCTAATGGGATAGAGAGGTAAAGAGTTCATCCTACTCACTTTTCTCTGCTTCTTTTCTTTTTTTTCCTGAGCATCTCTCTCCCGGTTTTCTCTGGCTCACCTCTTTCTGAGGTCTGCAGATTAAAAGAATTAATACAAGCCAGAAGTTATTATGTGAATCCTACTTATCACAGAGTAAATGGGATCTGCTGGGCTGCAGCCCTGGAAGCCACAGCCATTGGCTGACAATGAATATTGACAAGACCATCAGGGTTTTCTTTCCTCAGCCCCCACATCTGGGGGATGCAGCTCACAGGACTGGGGGGAGCACAGGGAGAAGGGAGCAGAGCTGTGGGAGCTGCTGCTGATGTGCCACTGCACGTGAGGGAGCAGTGGTGATGTGAAAAGTACATTGGTGGGGCCCAGAGGCTCTGCACAAACTGTGGAGAGGTGCTGGATGTGCCAGGCGCCACCAGGCAGGAGGGAACAGCTCTGGCACCAATGTAACAGGAGCTGCAGCATTGCTGCTGCCACCTCTGCTTCCACAGCAGGCAAGGTTTAGCATGTGCCCTCTCTTCTTCTGATCCCAGATCTTGGGTTAAACCAGTATCTGCTCCGTGGTGAAGTCCAGGTGTTTTGATTTATCTCTGAGAGACCTCATTATCAGCCACAGCAGCAGACTCTAACCTTTCATGGCAGGGCCCCTTTGAATTTATTTTCTGCCCCAAGGTACAAGAGGAACCATGAGAAATCAATTTTTTTTCCTCCAAGACCCCCTAGTTTCCAAGAACTTTTAAAGGGCAGACAAACCATAACTGGGACATCTTTTACCTTTAAAAAGGTCCTTCATCATACTAGATTTTGATTAATCAGCCTCCCACTCTCCTGTCACCTTCACAGAGGGGAGTGCTGGAGACCTCCCACCAGCCCCTCTCTGCAGAGGGAGAGGGAGAGAAAGAGAGAAGGAGGGGAGGACAGAGACTTCCACAGCTGGGGAGCTGTGAGGAAGGCTCAGCCCCTGTGCCCAGCCGCCCTCCTGCAGCTGCCATGAGCAGGGAGATGCAGCATTGCACTGCAAGGGTGCAGCTCCTGCTCAGCTGCTGCCTCTGCCTGCCCTGTGGCTGCCTCCAAGCTTCGAGAATTTCCTGGGGCTGCAAACCCCGAGACTGCCTGCCTTGCCCAGCCACTCACCAGGCCCTTGGCACAGTCACAGGCTGACTGAAGAGCCTGAAACTGCAGGACAAGGTGCTCATCCCAGCCCAAGGCTCAGCCAGCAGGCCTGGGGAGCCCTGCAGGCTCTGAGTGGCAGCAGGCAGCCTCCTCTGCCTGCCAGCTAACATACATAATTCAGCTGAAATATTCATTTAAGACTGTCTGAGCCATGGCAATAACCTAGACATTATGACAATACAGATCAATAAGCCCAGAGAGGATCCTTCACTGAAACATGCTGCAATTGTTCAAACCAAGTCTTAATTGTGACAAGAATTGATTTCTCTTTTCTAATATCCCTGACTTTTAATTAAAAAGTAGTTAAGTAGACAATGCATTTCCAGGATCATTTAGAGGCAGGACGATATCAAGGAGCACACACTTAAAATGCAGAAGTGGTGCCTTGTTAATATAATGGGACCAACCACAGGCTGTGCAAGTCAGATGGCTGAGTAGGGCTCAGGGAGCCCAGGACCCCCAGGCCAGCAGGCACAGCTCCATCCTGGCCTCACAGAGACATGGGCACGTCCCCACTGGTTCTCTCCTGCTCCCCAGGGTCCTCCAGCCATCTGCCTTTCACACCCTCTTGCACACACGAGTGCATCTAATAGCTCTGGTTATCCAGCAGAATCCAGCACTTTGCTTTGCCCTTGTCCCTGGCACATGGCAGAGGCAGGCAGGAGGGCAGGAGGGCAGCACAGCTCCCACTGCCTGAGGGCAGGGCAGTGACTGCAGCTCCAGGAGCGCAGTGGGGTGAGCACAGCCCCAGCACAGCCTTCCCCCTACTGTCCATGTGCTTCTTGGGACAGCCCCAGGATGTGCCCACAGCCCAGAGGGGCTGGTAGGGGGGAGTGCTGGAGCCCCTGTGAAAGATTAACTCCTCCAGCCTTTTTTTAAATTATTATTTATTTCCCAGTACTGTCTTAGTGGCTGCAGCTCAGCACAGTGAGAGTGCAAGGAGCCAGCTGTGAACCAGATTGTGGCAATCCAGGGCTTCCCTCTGGCTGCCCTGGAAGGTCTGGGACCCTGGCAGGGGTCAGGAACCCCCCTGGACAGAGCCCCCAGAGACACTGTCTGTGATCTCTGTCCATGGAAAAGAGTTTTCAGTCTTACAGGATGAATTACCAGCTCTGAGTGTTTGATATAAGTAATAATTAAGTGTGACACAGGTGCAAAAGTAAAATTTTAGGATTCTAGATGAGGGGTCCAAAGGGGACAAGATGGAGGAAATTGGGTGTGTCTTGTCCTTTTTCTCCTTCTTCATGCCCTCCATGTTTCACTGTGCTGTTGGCATTTTTCTGTTGGTTCGGGCTGGGGACACACTGTCCAACGTAGGTGACAGATATTGGCACGTTATTGTAAATCCAGCACAGGGAGTTTGTGGTATTTAATGTTTGTACCATCCCACTGAGGGCAGAGCCCCACACGCTGCCCTGCAGGACAGAGCTCCGGCAGGGCAGCAGAACATGTTAGAGATAAACAGAATAAACAACCCTGAAACCAGCACAGACCAATTATGGCTTCTGCTTTGGCAGCGGGGCTGAAAGACAGAGACTTTCTACAATCTCAGGACCATCAATACCACAGATTCCGACACCAGATATTTCTCCATCATCCTCCAGTAGAGAAAAATGGGCCAAAACACCTGAATCTGATTTGAGGGAGACCATTCACATCAGGACTCCGTTAAAAGAAGAAATGGGCTTTTATCTACTAATCAAGAATCGTAGAAGAAAACACTTTGGAAGACACCCAGAAATGCTCATGGGAGGGAAGGGGCTGCACCCCTTGTCTGAGTTCCCCATGTACAGATCCTGCTCTGTGTCAGTGAACCCACCTGCAGAGCCTTGCTAAAGGCCAGCAGTGGTGGAATGTGGAGCAGCAGCCCAAAGCAGGGAGAGGTGCAGGCTCCAGAGATCTTGTCTCTGCACTGAAAGGGGCTGGAATAGCTTGTGGCCATTCTCACAGAACATTTCTGGTATTTACTCTGCTGGTGGATATCTAAGTGGTCAGACACTGCAGCAAATCCTGTTTCCCTGGGTCTGATTAGATTTGAGAGCAGCTGTGCTGGAGTGCTTGCTGATACTGCCAGGAAAGGAGAGCAAGGACTGAAGAAGATTCTCAGAAACGTCCCTACTCACTATTCCCCCTCCCCAGCCCTTGTTCATGCCAGTCAGAGATGCAGAAGCATCCCCCTTGCAAACAGAGCCCATTTATTCATATCCCTTGACTCATCAAGTACAAGTCAAACCACAAACAGTGAAAAATGTTCTCCAAACCCCCCAGCAGCCACACAATGCTGCATCCCTGCCAAAAGCCACCATCTGCCTGCCCCTAAAACCTCTTTCCAAGAAAGGTAAATCCATCAGCCAAGTATTGGACAGCCCAGAGGGAAGGACAGTGCTGGCTGGCAGTGTCACTGGCCTCAGGGAGGTGTGGGATAGCCCAGACAAGTTCCCTGAAGAATTTGTGGGGCTAGAATACCTTTTCATGCTGTTAAGCTTTTAATTCACCCAGCTTTGTTACTTTGGGTTATTTTATTCTGTAAATCAAACAGCCCCCATAATAATAAAACTCTTTGTTAACACCACTGGACTTATGCCTAAAACAACAGCACACGATCTCCTGCCTTTCAGTTTGATCTTGCTGCCACTTGGGACAGGATTAAAGAGAAACAGCTCCACTAATTCTTCCAAATTCCTTCAGCAAACATCAGCTTGGACCAAAGAGGATGCAGGATGCCACAGTTAGTAATCCTAAAGAAGCTGTTCCCTTGCAGATGGCTGGGGACCCTCAGCACCCCAGCTTTGAGATACTCACCCCAGGCCTGGAGCAGCTGCCAGCCAGCTCCAACTCAGGTATTTTGTGGGAACTCAAAATGTCCCTCAGACATTTTTGGAGGTTCCAGGCCCCAGTCAGAAGCATTTGAGACCCTGGCAGGCAGCTGGAAACAGCTGTGATTTTGGGTTTGAACCATGGAATGATTCACCAACCTTGCAGGAAGAACAAGAAGTCACAAAAGTTTAGATATTATAGTAGAAGTGGTCACAAAGTAGAGGGAAGAATTTCTGAGTGCTGTACAGGGGGACTTTAATGCTTGTACAGGGAGGTTTTAGTTTTGTACATGGGGGTCAGAGGTTTTAAGATGGAGGGATTTGGGCCTGCCCTGTCCTCCCTCTTTCTTCTTCCTTACCTCCATGTTCTTGGTGATGTTGGCACTCACAGGTTGGTTTAGAGTAGAAAAGCACCATTTAATATAGGGTATGGGCATTGGGGAAAACTGTACCCATGTAACACGTAATGTCCCATATAAAAGACAGCAAGGCCACCAGGGCATGCACAGAGCAGGGCTGGGCCACCAGGGCAGGGCAGGCACGGGCTCAGAGGTGGCTGCCAGGGCACAGCAGCCTCACGAGACTCTCCTCTGGCCCTGGCACAGGCCCTGGGCACATCACTGCAGGAAGCACGAGCCTTCAGGGAGCACCGAGGTAATTGAGTATTGACTGAGATGTCCCAGGTGAGCCCTGGAAGCACATCACATCCTGCTTAACTCAATAATTACCATTTATTATCCCTTCCTGCACTCTGTTAAGCTAAAAGGTCTGTAATTAGCTACTTGGTTTAAGTGTAAAGTGTTAATTAATTCATGTTATGAAGTGCAATTGCTTCTTGAAGATAGCATTGCTCATTCTAGCACACTGTAGCCCTCTGTAATGCTTTAACCAAAATACAAGCTTGTGCCAGGGAGTGAGCAAAAGTCCTAAAATCAGGCACTGGGAGGCAAAACTTCCTCTGCAAAGCCAAAAGGAAGCAACAAATGGACAAAGGATTCAGTGCAGCCCCTCTCAGAGCTGTTCCTGCTCTGAGCCCCAGGAGCACATGCCAAGCTGCAGCTCCTGCATCGTCCCCAGGCCACCTGGAGCACCACAAATGCATTTAACTGCTGATTTATCTTTGATTCCAGTTGTTAGAAGAGTTTTCATTTAGGACTGGATGTGTTTATGGAAAAGTGTCAGCACAGCACATCAGACCAGATGAGCTCCCTCACCATCTCATGACAACTCTGAGACACTCACACAAATGCAAAATCCCTAAAACTTCCCAAACAAACACCAGCCATAGAGAGACTTAGAGAAAAACCTCTCAAAAGGCACAATAAATGACTGAGCTTTTGGCACTGGGCTGAATTAAAAGGATGAAGTGAAGTTTTTGCTCGCTGGAAGCTGCTTCCATGCTGCTGCAGCAGCAGATGGTCTTTCCTGGAGCTGAAGGATTTTGAAGATTTGCCAGTGCAGAGAGAAGCAGAGGATTAACATATGTATTGTAAGATGTAAGAGGAGAGAACCTGGAGGTGCAGCTCGAGGTGGGGACTGACCCAATCTCCTGATTCTTGGGGTCCCTTTGTAATTCCTCAGGAGGGAAACCCCATCAGCACAGCCTTCCCCTCATTCACACCAACAGCCTGTTCTGGCTCTGTTCTATGAGTCATTAATTCCTAATAAGTAGAAAACTGCCTGATGGGCTTTGGACAAGAAGAATATTTACTGCATCAGAGACAAGAATACAACATAAATTTCCAACTATAAACCAGAGTTTGAATGTTGACATATCTTTAATAATGATAAATGAAGAATTTATGGATTCAGCTAAAGTTCACAAGAGAATTTTGATTCATTATCACATTGAGCTCAAACCCAGAGCCAGCATCTTGTCCCAGATTTGGTCACATCCCTCAGCTGCCCCTTTTCCCTGCTGTGCTGGGGGCTGCAGGATGACCACACAGGGCCCGATGCCCTTCCCTGGCAGCCCCAGGAAGCTGTGCCATGGCAGGCACTGAGCTGTGTGGCACAAGCCAGGGCTGTGACAGCTCCCCAGCCAGCCAGAAAAATGCTAATTGCAAAGCAAGTAATTAGTGGCTATAAAATATGACCAATACAATTACGCTGAGGATTTTTTTTTTTTCCTCTGTCTGTCCAGAGCCTTGGCATGGAAAAGTCTTATAATTAGGTGACAAAACTGACAGGCAGCTCCAGTGAAACAGCCTGTCCTCACCCTCTGCAGAGACTCCCCAAGTGTTCTGCACCAATAATTACTAATCAAGTTATTTCTCTCAAGATTAAAAAAGCGTTCTGCAGGTAATTTGCCCATAACAGCAAGGCCTGGTGCTGGCAAGGAGCCCAGCAGCTCTGGGATGGCTCCAGTGGCAGCAGCACAGCCCCTTCACAGCAGCCACCAGAGCCAGTCCCATACAGGCCAGGCAGCTCTTCCTTGGGGCCGTGCCTTGCCAGAGCTCACCCTAGGCCAGGGGTGGCTCCGTGTGGTGGAAAAATCCCTCCTCCAACCCGTGCTTCCAAAGAAAGGCTCAGCAGTCTCTGCTGTCCAGTCTCAAGGCAGTTTATTGCAGTTATCTAGAAGATTTTCTTCTGGGGCTGCTGTGGTTTGCTCACAGCTCAGGCAGAGGCACACACACACCCTGACATCCTCTCTGACTCCCGACTGCTTCTTCTCTCCCTGCCCAGGGCTGCTGCTGTCTGTTATATGGTACATTACGTGTTACATGGGTACAGTTTTTCCCCAATGCCTATTACCTATATTAAATGGTGCTTTTCTATCTTTTATATGGTACATTACGTGTTACATGTTACAGTTTTTCCCCAATGCCTATTACCTATATTAAATGGTGCTTTTCTATCTTTTATATGGGACATTATGTGTTACATGGTTACAGTTTTTCCCCAATGCCCATTACCTATATTAAATGGTGCCTTTCTACTCTAAACCAACCTGTGAGTGCCAACATCATCAAGAACATGGAGGTAAGGAAGAAGAAAGAGGGAGGACAGGGCAGGCCCAAATCCCTCCATCTTAAAACCTCTGACCCCCATGTACAAAACCAAAACCCCCCTGTACAACACTCAGAAATTCTTCCCTCTACTTTGTGACTACTTCTACTATAATATCTGAACTTTTGTGACTTCTTGTTCTTCCTGCAAGGTTGGTAAATCATTCCATGGTTCAAACCCAAAATCACAGCTGTTTCCAGCTGCCTGCCAGGGTCTCAAATGCTTCTCACCTGGACCCAGAACATCCAAAAATGTCTGAGGGACATTTTGAGTTCCGACAATTCCTCACCTCTGGAGCATCACTCCCCATACAGCTGTAGGAAAGGAGCCCCTCCTGGCTCAGCTCCACCTCCAGCACGTTTCAGAGCCCCCAGGAGGAGGAGGAGGAGCTGCTGCAGCCAGAAGCACTGACAGTTTCATCTCCGTAGGTTTTGATTACATTTAGAACAGAGAAAAGGACAGCACAGCTGTAAACCTCAAAGCTCCAAACCCCTCTGCTCCATGTCTGCTTTCCTTGCAGTGCAGATGGCACAGGAGGAGCACTCAGAAGTGGGGGGCACACAGGCCCTTCCCCACACCATCCTGACAGTTCAGCTTTCATTGTCACTGTATTCACAAAGCCTGACCAAGATAACACAACATTTGGGAACAGTACAGCAGCACAAAGAGCTCAAAAAGGGGTTTCTAGTATTTTTTAATATTTTTTTATTTACCTTGACATAACCCATCGACCTTATTCAACAAGGCCATGATCACCCACTCCTGAGTGCACAGGCACACAGTGCCCAGCTCCAGCAGCTCCCAGTCCCAAGGGTTAGGAAGATTCTGGTACCAAGCCATACTTCTTCTTCAGGATTTCCACTGTGGGCGTTAGTGCACTGCAGGGACAAACAGAGCCATCAGAACAAAGGGTTTGGAGCATTAAAACTGCATTTTCTGGGGAAGAGCAATCAGCAAGACACAGAATTGCACTTAGAGCCAAGGAGAGCACGAACTCCAGAAACCACAGCTTCACACATAAACTGTGAGAAAGGGGAATTTGAGATGATGATTTCTGTGTGTGCTCATAATTAACCAACACTAATGGGAAGGTGGAACTGCTGTGGGAAGTGAAGCAAAGCAAACAAAACAAAGCAATATAATGCATGCCCCACCCCAACCAAAAATTTTGTTTTGTTTAAAGCAAAGGAACAACCCCAGCTGCACTCACCAGCCAGGCCGGATGATGGAGAATTTCCCTGACACAGATAAGTCAACCACAGTTGACCCCAAGCGACACTCTGGGCTCTGGATGTCTCCTATGGGGCCTCCATCAACGACCAAGGACAGCTGAGGCCACAAGTCCTGGAATTCCTGCAAGAGAGCTGTGGGTAACAGTCCTGACAGCGGCTTGTATCATTTAAATAAAATAAAAACACAGCAGCAGAGCAGCCCTTGGTTTATTGCTAAAGAAGAGAGCCTGGGCTCTGCCAGACTGCCCCTGACATCCCGGAGGGATGGAAGAAGCTCACCAGTACGGTCAGGGTGCTGCCCTGCGAGCTGATGTTGGCGCTCGTCAGAGCCAGTGGTCCCGAGCAGGCTCGTGCCAGGTCTCTCATGAAGGGGTGGTCTGGAATGCGAACACCAACCAGCTGCAGGGAAGGAGAGGAGCGTTTAACACACAGAAACTGGTTTAATTTTGCGATTTATGCCACGTCCAGGTCAGTCACAGGGAGCAGGACAACACTTCTGGGCACAGCTAAGGACAGATGTTGCAGCAGCAGCACAAAACCAGCCCCCTGCCCCCCAGTCCTGCAGCCGTGACCTACCGATGTGAACGGATTCAGGTCTTTATTCAGCTCCTCCGAACGCTCTAGGACCAGCGTCACCGGTCCCGGGAGCAAGTCCCGCAGCAGCTGGTCGGGAACATTCACGTGGCAGTACCTGCAGGGCCGGACACAGCCGGGTCAGGGCGAGCACCGGGCGGGCCCGGGCCACCGCCGGCCCCCGGCAGCTGCGGCTCAGCCTCCTGGGCTCCCGGGCAGCCCCATCCCGGGCAGCCCCATCCCGGACAGCCCCATCCCGGGCAGCCCCATCCCGGGCAGCCCCATCCCGGGCAGCCCCATCCCGGGCAGCCCCATCCCGGACAGCCCCATCCCGGGCAGCCCCATCCCGGGCAGCCCCATCCCGGACAGCCCCATCCCGAGCAGCCCCATCCCGGACAGCCCCGTCCCGGGCCGCCCCATCCCGGGCAGCCCCGCGGGCTCGGCACGCACCGGTAGAGCCGCTCCACGTCGCCGAGGCAGATGGCGAGCGGCTTGCTGCCGTTCCGCCCCTTCAGGCTGTAGATGCTGCGCACGGCGGCCGAGTCCTGGGCCAGGCAGGCCACGCCGTACACCGTGTCCGTGGGCACGGCCACCAGCCCGCCCGCCTGCAGCGCACCGGCCGCGGCCGCCACCGCCTCCCTCCACTCGGCGGGGCGGCCCCGCTCCGGTGCGACCCGGCCCGGCTCCACCGGGGCGCTCCCGCCGCCGGCCCGGCCCCCGCGCTCCGCCGGCTCCCCGGCGGGCGGCAGCAGCACCAGGCGGGCACGGCCCGGCCCCAGCCCCAGCCCCGGGCCCGGGCCCGGCCCCGCCGCTCGCTCCGCCGCCCGCGCCACCGCCAGCGCCGCCCGCGCCATGAGGCGCCGCTTCCGGCGCGGGGCCCTGACGGCACCGCCGGGGCGGGACCGCCGCCGTGCCCATGGAGACCGGGCAGCCGCGGCACGGCCGCGCGGAGCCGGCGGGAGAGCGGCGGGTGCGGAGAGGGGACGGGGAGACCGGGGAGGAACGGGGGGACGGGGAGATATGGGGGGAACGGGAGCGGCCAGGGGGACGGGGAGATACGGGGGGAACGGGGGGACGGGAGCGGCCAGGGGGACGGGGAGATACGGGGGGAACGGGGGGACGGGAGCGGCCAGGGGCATCCGAGGGTCCGGAGGGCGGACGAGGGGACAGGGAAGTGTATCTATAACAGGAGGAACGGAGGGAACGGGAGCGGCATGGGGGATCGGGGAGACACGGGAGGAGCGGAGGGAATGGAGGCGGCCAGAGCCATCTTGGGGTCCGGAGAGGGGACGGGGGAACAGGGGAGGAACGGAGGGAACGGGAGCACAGGGAAGTGTATAACAGGGGGAACGGAGGGAACCGGAGCGGCCAGGGCGATCGGGGAGGACGGGGGGACAGGGAAGTGTATCTGTAGCAGGAGGAACGGAGGGAACGGGAGCACGGGGAAGTGTATCTGTAACAGGAGGAACGGAGGGAACGGGAGCGGCCAGCGGCTCCGCGGCTGAGCGCTGTCCCCGCCGTGTCCCCGCAGGTTCGGGCCGAGCCGGGGAGGCTGCGGGAGCTGCTGGAGCTGCGGCAGCGGCAGCTGCGGTCCCGCATCGCCGCCTGCGAGGAGCTGCGGGCGGAGATGGCCGCGCTGCGGGCGGCGCTGAGCCCCGGCCCGGCGGGCGGCGCGGGCCCTGAGGAGCCCTGAGGAGCCCTGAGGAGCCCTGAGGAGCCCCGGCGGCGGCGGCGGGAGCGAGGATCGGCCCCGCGGAAGGGACCGAGGGCTCGGGGCTCCGGGAACGCTCCCCGGTGCTGGGGGAGCACTGACGGCTCCCCCGCCGCAGCCTTGGAGCTCGCTCGGGCTCGCCGCTCTCGTGCCTTATCGCATTAAATTTACACTTCAGAACAAAGCGAGGCGGGCTCGGTGCGTATCTGCCCACCCCCGTGTGCCCCTGAGGAGGAGGCACAGCCCCAGCGGCCCTGGGCGCCCAAGGCCGGTTCCTCCCTGGCCGCTCAGGGAGCGGGGCCAGCCCAGCCCGGCTCTGCCCCAGCCCGGTCCTGCTCTGCCCCAGCCCAGCCCGGCTCTCCCCTGCTGAGCCCTGCCCGGCCCCGCTCTGCCCCTGCCCGGCCCGGCTCTGCCCCTGCCCAGTCCCTTTCTGCCCCTGCCCAGCCAGGCTCTGCCCTGCCCGACCCCAGCCCAGCCCGGCTCTGTCCTGCTGAGCCCTGCCCAGTTCGGCTCTCCCCTGCCCGGCCCCGCTCTGCCCTGCCCGGCTCTGCCCTGCTGAGCCCTGCCCAGCCCCGCTCTGCCCCAGCCCGGCTCTGCCCCTGCCCGACCCCAGCCCTGCCCGGCTCTGCCCCTGCCATGGGAGAGGTCCCAGCTCTGGGTTTTCACTCCCACCCGCACCTCACAGCACCAGAGCAGCCAAGCTGGGATAGGGAGGAGGGTGAAACCTTTCAGGGTTGGAATTCTTATTCCGGCAAGATGCTCACACTCCTCTCCCACAGAATACTCTCAGGAAAAACTATTATAACACAATGTTTAAATAAGCATTTAATTAGGATTCCATTAGTATTAATATTGCTTTCAATTCCAAAAAGGTTAATTTCCACTTCTTTGCAGATATTTCAAAGTACAATATTAACTTCATACAAAATGAGCAATTAAGCAAACACCATTATTTCACATTCTTCAAAAAATACAAATTCATATTTACTCTTTTGGGTTTTGGAGATGCTCTTCCTTTGGAAGTACTGTACCTGTAACTAACATCTTCACATTGCTCAATGTAAGCACATTTGTTGCCATGTTTCAGAGTTAAATAAATTCCTTTATTACCATACACACATTCTTGAGAAACTGGGATTTAGTTCAGCTGTCTCCAAAGTCCCAGGCAGTGCAGCCCCCCAGCCCCGACAGCTCAGCTGGAGCTGGAGCTGCCCCCGGTGTGGAGCCAGGCTGGGGTTTGGGCTGGGTGAGGCAAAACAGAGCAGGGTCAGCCCGAGCAGCGGGAGGACACGAGAGTCACAAACCAGCAACACCAGCAACTGCAACTACAGCACTGCAAACACACCCTCAAGTCTGCCGGAAAAGGTCACGTGAAAAAAAATATTTTTTTAAGAAAAAGTAGAAACTGCATTTGAGAAAGTGTACGCTGCATAATGAACCAAATTTTGGCCAGCTTGCACACCACTGCAGCATGGTGTGGGGTTTCACCTAGTTCCAAAAACACACACTCAGACTATGTACACTACTACATAAATATCCAGTTTAATTTGCATTTCTCAGTGCAGACACAGAATCCAACTTCTAGAACATGTGATAAGATATCAAGACAAGACACAAAAAAGTTAAAAGTTCAGCCCTGTCCATGAGAATTGACTACAGGTAACATTTATAAAAACTCGACATTGCTTCCAAAATATGTTACGGAAAAAATAGTATACAATTAAAAACTCTGCAGTCAGAAATTCATAGGGTTTATTAAAGACATGCTCTTCATTTTGCCTTACAGTCCAAACTGACTCCAGCTAGCTCAGGTAACTCCTGCCAAGAACTTTTCACCCACAGATCTCCAATCATTTCGTGGAGACAGCAGCCTGGCCTGGCTCCGTGGGGAGGATCCGAGGCAGCGCGAGGCTCTGAGCCCCGGCCAGCGGTGGAAGCCACAGCAGAGCTGCTCTGCCCTGCCCCACTGACCCGGCTGCCTCAGCTCACAACACCCCAGCCACAGCATCTCCAGCCACCCCAGGACAGCCCCTGGGCTCTGTTCCCCGCAGCTCCACGCCAAGGGGCCCTGGCTCCAGCCCTGCCCCTGGTTTGTCTCGGAGCAGGAGTGCTGTGAACAGTTCACAGCCTTGCTGCACATCAAGGACAACGTCGTGGATGGCTACAGCCATGCCACCCCCAAGAAATAAGGCAGTAACAGGACATCAGAAACCATCTTGAAGACAAATTTCAAAGGTGCAACATGCCTGTTTGAAAGCAGCTCGTCACTTGTGTTCCCACGTGGGCACAGAATGAGGGCAGGGGAAGAAGGACACATATCAAGGGACACGGCATGTCCAACAGGAGTGACAAGCAGCCCCCAGAAAGCGTGAGAGAAAAGGCTGCTGAAGCACAGTGCTCTCAGAGGGTTATTTGCATAGATTGGACGTTTGCTAACGATGCATAATTTGTCTGGGGCACGGGGAAGGGCAGCACAGCACCCACCACGCCTGTTCTGTCAGACAGACACACACGGACCACGCGGGACAAGGATCTTTAGCTACAGGTATTGCACCAAGTTAAGTGCTCATCTTTGCACACCCCTGTTAACTTTTACTCAGAGCAAAAATAAACTTTGTGAAAGTATATACAAAAGAAATTGCAGCAATTGGGTTAAAGATAAAATAACCTAAAGTGCATTTTAGATACCAGTATGAGGTTCTGCGAACTTGTTTTCCTGGGGACACTCAGCATTACACAAGTGTCCAACTCGTACTTTGTTCCATGTAATTCAGTACCAGCATTCAATCAGTGCTGATTTTCCACCCCACCCCCCCACCCCCCACCTACAAGCACAAAAAGCAATTTCTCCAACCTTCAGCTGCATGCCAAGTCTGCTCGCTTGGGTCCTTGCTTGGTGACCAAAGCTACCAAAGTCAGTAACTTGACCCCCTCTACATATTTGAGCTTCTACACCCATCTAGAAACTATGAGTGACCAAGTAAACCCCCACTAGCACAAAACAGGTGACCTAGAGCAGTGCACTTCTGCTCTCTGACTGATAATTAAAGGGGTTCATGCAGACTTTGTAGAGGCAGGCACGCTGTTCCCAGAGACTCCAACACATTTACCCTTTTCTGGGAATCCAGGGCAGAAACTCTCCCTTTCATTAATAATGTAATAGTGAATATACTAAATGCTGGAGCAGCAAGGAGAGGACAGGAAAATCTCTGGCCTTGCAGAATCTCAGGGCTTTGCTGCCCTTGGATCTCCTCCCATCCCAGCATGGCACAGACTGCCCTGGAGCACAGTCTGATCACACAGTACTGGGGATGATACAAATGTGAAAACATCTCAGACACACGCAGCAAAAACACTCTGGAAAGCAGATGGGACGATAAACAACAACAGCACACACCTGGAAAACACAGTGGATGCACAGCCCGTGTGCTCACAGAATCACATGCTCCTGCCTCAGCACAAGCTTTAACCAGTTCCACCTGAATTGCAGCCTGCCTGATGCATGTATAAGAGAGAAATGGCAAAGCCAATGCACCAAAGAATCAGCAGGACATAGTGCTTTTCCTGGAACACAACAAAAAACCCAGCAGCTGTGAAGAGAAACAGCAGAGATTGACCCTGGGCACTGCTGCCCATCACTGCAGCTTCACATTGAGCTTCCCAGTTCAGAGACTTTGGTAGTTTCTTCTACTCATTTCAGTGACAAGAGAGTTTCTGAAGATGCTCTCTGGCCCAACCAGGAGCGTGTTTTAGGTTGACTAAGTCATAAGTAGCAAAAGTAAAAAAGCCTCCCTGAAGGCTGCGAAGGCTCAGAAGCGTTGCTGAATTGCCCAGCTGTCACAGTGCAGGCCACATCTGGGACCCTTGTCCCCATCAGAGGCAACCCCCACAACTCCTGGGGAATCGTCACACTCCTGCATCACAGTCTCCCACGGGCACACATCCACACCCACTGACCCTCAAACACCACAGCTGCTCTTGGCCAAAGAAAATGCCCAAGCCACAGTGAGAGGCACCAGAGGACCCCAGGCAGCGCCCACTCCCCTCCCAAGTGGAGCTCTAGGCAGAGCAGCTGGCAGGAAACTCCTCTGCGAGGACAGTCCCAACCATGCAGGCTTGGGACTATGTTTTTTGTGTTCAAAGCAGTTCTTGCTGCCATGCAATTCAACTGCAGCACAACATGAAGCTGTAGGAGAAAAACAAAGGAGCCACCACCTCGCTGCCCTCCAAGGATTGCCATGACAGGAACAAAACAAGAAATGCTTTGTTAACCTGTTTTGTGGATACCAAACCTTGTAGCTGCAGGACTCTACAACAGCCCTGTCACACACCCAGAGGAAACACCAGCAGTACGTGGGATGCCCTCGAGTTCATCCCTGCAGCTGCCAACACCGAGCTCTCTGCCCTGGCACAGACACACGGCGTGGCCCAGGCACGGAGTGCTCCTGGCACACCCGTCTGCCCTCACAGGACGTGGTTCTTTCCCCTCTGCACCTCTCAGAAGCTGTGCAGGAGGGAAGGCCAGCTCCCTTCAGTCCCTTTCCACCCGTGCCTGGGCACTGCATTCTCAGGGGAACAGCACAAGAGGTGGCTGAAGCCAGGCTCAGTGGTGGTCACCTACACTGAGCATATCACAGGAGGATTTAACACCCGCTGATCACCAGGCAGCACTCACAGGGGTCTCCTTCCCCAGAGGTACAGAGAGCAGCTCTGATCAAACACAAAGAGTGAAAGACCTCTATCCACTACAGTTTGTACTCCTAAATTGAGTGCAGGACACTCCCCACTAATTGGCTTACAGTCATTATCTTTGTATCTCACTAATGACAACACTGTAAACTGAATAAAGACTATTTAATATTCTTTCCTTTAACACAGAAAACTGACAGCCAAAGCCAGAAAGATGGATAAAAACTATAAAATTACATATTTTAAAATAATGCAGCATAAATAAACCATTTAGAATGAGACTGCATTTATTGCAACATTACAGGCTTTTTGGTGGAAGGGGGGGGTTTGGATTTGATTTACCCTGAGTAGATTAGAATATAGACTCTCAGTTTGATATCAAAAACTATTCTGTTGTGTAACATCTTTTAGTCAAGAAATAGCCCCGTGCACAAAAAGCTGGCATTGCAGTAGGCTGGAGGCAGAGTCAGGCAGAAATTATATAGCTCATTGGAA